TTTTATAAAATATTAATATTTGGGGAAAAAGGGCCAAGTGTACAAGACATCTCTGTATTATGTCTTACAATTGCATGTGAATTTACATTATCTCAACAAAAATTCCCACTAAAAAGAATTCAGTGGCCAGGCGCAGTGGCTCATGCCTGTGATCCCAGCACCTTGGAAGGTTGAGGTGAGTGGATCTCTTGGGACCAGGAGTTTGTGACCAACCTGGGCAACATGAAGAAGCCCCATTTCTACAAAGAAATATAAAAATTAGCTGGGTGTGGTGGCACATGCCTGTAGTCCAAGCTACTCGGGAGGCTGAGGTAGGAGAATCACCTGAGCCCAGGAGGTAGAGACTGCAGTGAGCTGTGATTATACCACTGCACTCCAGGATGGGCAATGAAGTGAGATCCTGTCTCAAAACAAAACAAAACAGGATTCAGAATACTCAGACTGGAGAAGATGAGGTTTTAGGACTATATTACCCAACTTGTTTTGCTTATAATTTCTCTTTTTTTTGTATCCCCAAGTTATGTGATTAAAAATCTTATGTTTAAATAAATTTAAAATAGCTCTTCTAAGAAGTAAAATTCAAAATAAGAAAGGACTATACTATAATTGATACAAATTTTTCTTTTCTAGTTGTATGTGAAATAACAGGGCATCTTACAATTGATGGCAACTTAGATTTTATGATTTATGGTAGTGTTTAGAATGAAGTTGACTTAACAAGTCTATTTTGACTCATGATGCCAGCCTTTGCACTAATCATCAAAATGTCTCCAATAAACGATCACGGTATTTCATGGTTAAACAAGATAAAGGAGTAAGGAAACATATGGTAATCATCCATGTTTCTGTTAATATATAGTATATAAAACAACAAATTCACTAACTATGGGAAAGTAACATATAAAACCTTAATAGGAGACGATCCAAGATGGCCGATCGATAACAGCTCGGGATTGCAGCTCTCAGTCAAAGCGCAGAGAACTAGAGGACGCCACACTTTCAGACAAATTCTGGTCGCTCATGGAGCAGAAGATCCCCAGTGGAGGAACCACACGGGTCGCCAGCGCGAGTCTTGTGGCCGGCGCAGCAGTTTCACCGGTACCCTGGCACTGCAGCTCTCGGAGCAGAGTAAACAGGGCTGGCTCCCCCTCTGACCGAGGCTTGGAGGACCCACACGGGCTGCCAGCGTGACTCCTGAGACCGGCGCAGCGGCTGTGATGGCACCTCAGAGCGGCAGCTCTCAGCGCAGAGTAAACGAGACTGGTTCCCCTTCTGACCGCGGTTTGGAGCCCAGGGAAGGCAGAGTTGCCCATTACGGACACAAGAAGGAAGCCAGACAGGAGAATCCTGGGCAGAAAAGCACCATCAGTCTTAACGCCGCCGTTCTGGCCCTGGGAACTAATGACTTGGACAAGAGACCTAATCTGAAAGTTGGTAATTTCAAAAATGACAGGAGGATAAATTTACAATGATGGGAAGAAACCAGCGTAAAAAGGCTGAGAATACTCAAAATCTGAACGCCTCTCCTTCTAAAGATGATCACAGTTCCACATCAACAATGGAACAAGGCTTGATGGAGAACGAGTGCATCCCAATGACAGAATCACTCTTCAGGGAATGGATAATAAGAAACTTCTGTGAGTTAAAAGAACATGTTGTAGCCCAACATAAACAAACTAGGAACTTTGAAAAAAGGTTTGACGAAATCCTATAGAGAATAGACAACTTAGAGAGAAATATAAGTGAATTAATAGAACTGAAGAATACAATACAGGAACTCCAAGAAGTATGCACAGGTTTAAACACTCGAATTGTTCAAGCAGAAGAAAGGATAACAGAGGTCAAAGTCCAACTTAATGAAAGAAAACAAGAAGACAAGATTAGAGATAAAAGGATAAAAAGGAATGAGCAAAGTCTCCAAGAAATGTGGGACTATGTGAAAAGACCAAATTTACATTTGATAGGTGTACCTGAATGCCACGGAGAAAATGAATCCAAGCTGGAAAATACCCTTCAGGATATTATTCAGGAAATTTTTCCTGAACTAGCAAAGCAGGTCAATATTCAACCCCAGGTAATACAGAGAACACCACAAAGATATTCTTCAAGAAGAGCAACCCCAAGGCACATAATCGTTAGATTCACCAGGGTTGAAATGAAGGAGAAAATACTAAGGGCAGCCAGGGAGAAAGGTCAGGTTACCCACAAAGGCAAGCCTATCAGACTTACAGCAGATCTCTCAGCAGAAACTCTACAAGCCAGAAGAGAGTGGGGGCCATATTCAACATCCTCAAAGAACAGAACCTTCAGCCCAGAATTTCATATCCAGCCAGAAGGAAAAATAAAATCTTTTATGAACAAGCAAGTATTCAGAGATTTTATTACCACCAGGCCTACTTTACAAGAGCTTCTGAAAGAGGCATTACACACAGAAAGAAACAACCAGTATTAGCCTTACTAAAAATATACCAAAAAGTAAAGAGCACCAACATAAAGAAGAATTTTCATCAACGAATGAATCAAACAGCCAGTTAACATCAAATGGCAGTAACCCTAAATTTAAATCGACTAAATCCCCCAATCAAAAGACACAGCCAAAACCCAATGGCATGTTACATCCAGACCTGTTTCACATGCAAGGATACACAAAGACTCAAAACAAAGGAATGGAGAAAGATTTACCAACCAAATGGAGAGCAAAAATAAATAAAAAGCAGGAGTTGCAATTCTTGTAGTGGATAAAATAGATTTTAAAGCAACAAAGATATAGTGGTAAAAGGATCAATACAACAACAAGAGCTAACGATTCTAACACCCAGATACATAGAGACTTAGATTCAATGAGACAGAAAATTAATAAGGATATCAACGACTCGAACTCAGATCCGGAACAAGTAAACTTAATAAATATTTATAGAGCTCTCCACTTCAAATACATAAAATATACATTCTTGTCAATACCACATCACGCCTACTCATAGGTTTAAATGAAACATTGATTGCCCATTATTAATACCCTTTTTTTTTTTTTTCAGAATAAAGCAATATTTCCGTTCACCCTCCCTCTCTCTCTTCCTTTCTTTCTCTCCTTTACTCATTTTTTTTTCTTTCCTCCTCTCAAAAAAAGAAATCAACTTGCAAACCTCTAGATCCAGGTCGGCAATGTCTCTCTCATTGCTTGAATTCCTTCCTTCCCTTCCCTCCCTCCCTCCCTCCCTCCTTCCCTCCCTCCCTCCCTTCATCCCTTCCTTCCTCCCTCCCTTCCTCCTTCCCTCCCTTCCTGCCTTCCTCCTTCCCTCCCAAAAAAAAAATAAAAATAAAACCTTAATAGGAAATAGAGATTATAAAACACTACCATTTGATTTTTTTAATGCAAATACTTCAATATTCCAATATTTTTACTCACTTGCTAAATAAAGCACACAACTCAAAATGCTAAATAATTGTCTAAATCTTTTAAAGAATAAAATGTTAGTGAAAAACCAAATTGCTCAGTAAGGTATGTACAACTTTATTACCTATCATAGACATCAAGATGATCATAGTTAATACCAACTTAAGCTTTACAGAATACTGTTTTAGGCCAAATATTGACATATTAAATGAAGGTATCAGAGAATCTTGTATTTATGGCATCAGGTTATAAAGATCTATTCAAAATCATTTTTTGTCAAAGTTTAAACACTGGAACAAAAGTCAAGTTTTTTCTAAATAAGACACAAAAGGATTCTTGCTAATAGTACAAATTTTGTCCCCTGGGTAATACCTTTTGTTTTTATGAGACAGAGTCTCTCTCTGTCGCCAGGCTGGAGTGCAGTGGCGTGATCTCCGCTCATTGCAACTTACGCCTCCTGGGTTCAAGTGATTCTCCTGCTTCAGCCTCCAAGTAACTAGGACTACAGGTACACACCAGCATGGCCAGTATTTTTTTTTAAGTATAGACGGGGTTTCACCATGCTGGCCAGGATGGTCTCAATCTCCTGACCTCAAGATCCACCCGCATTGGCCTCCCAACGTGCTGGGACTACAGGCGTGAGTCATTGTACCTGGCCATCTTTGGCTTTTTAAAAAAAAATTATTTTGATTTTTATTTTAGATTCAGGGAACACATGAGCAGGTTTGTTAGCTGGGTATAATAGGTTTGTGATGCTGAGGTTGGGGGTACAGATGATCCTCTCACTCAGGTAGTGAGCAGAGTACCCAGTAGGTAGTTTTCAGTTCTTGCTCCCTACCCTACCTCCCCAGTGTCTATTGTTCCCATGTGTCCTTGGGTATTACTGTTTTCAAGTTTTTTTCTTTACATGAAGCCACTGAAAGCAAAAGTATGTCATACTTATAGGTTACATTGTACATTTATCATTCTATTAATGAATGTCTTAAGGAATTAAGCCGTATATTAAGGCCATAAACCAAGTCATTATCTCCTATCAAAGGACTATTGTTATTCAATTATCTAAAAAATTCATTTTAATGGATTATGTTACAGGGTTGAGGTCAGCCTATAGACACAGAACAGGTTAATTAAAATATTTCTTCAGATCAGCTTTTAATTTTTTCGCTGGAATAGGATTTGGGGGTGGGGATACTAAATGTGGCAGGGTTCAACAAATTTACAGTTTATCAAAAGGTTCTTAAAGAATACAATGATGGCATATACTTTAATTCTTATAGCACAAACCCTTATATTGATGGTCACAGAAAAATACTGTAATGCTTTAAACAAAAGTTTTAAAGTACATCAGTGATGTAAGTTTCAAACAAAATGTAGTGATCTACATGTACTTAACTGTCCTTTCATCAAGCTTTTACAAACAAAATCAGTCTTCACTGTCTGAGCAAATGAGTTTTAGTTTCTTCATGGTCCTCCATCTATCTTTTAACATGACACTTGTCCGGTTGTTGAATTTATAATGCAACAGTATTTTAGACCAGTTTCCCTCTCCAAATTTCCTAACGCCAGATCTCAAATTCTTGTCTTCTTCCCAAAGCCATGCCTTTTGATAAAAAGTAAAACAGTTATTAACAGAAACAATTATTTAAAAAAATACCTACTACAAATATCAGTTAAAAAAAATCAAAATAATGCTCAGTTTCTTAAAGACAGAAGATTTTTCTAAACATTTCCTAGATTTTTATGAGATTTTACATTTATCGTAACATTTTTAGGGATCATTATTATTACTGTTCATTTGATGTAACCTCACCTGGCCAAGATCAGATAGAAAGTGACAGTGCTACATGTCAAGTCAATTTGTCTGACTTTAAGGCTACACTATCTCTTAAAATGCTCTTCTACAACTGTTAACAGTTGTATTTATTAATCCTCCAAATCACCAAATAGAATTTATGAATGTTTAGTAGTTCACTAATGAACTCAGTGGAAACCCTGTTCTGCCTATGTTAGGGGAAGTATTACACACACATATACAACTCAAATCTTGTTTAAAACAGACTTTGAAAAACACAACTAACGTAAACTAATTAAAAACATCTAATTTTAGGCTGAGAGAAAATGCCTGAAATAAAAAATTTAAAAAGCAAATTTAATACTATACACAAAAAAATTACTGATACTTGGCATTTGCTACAGGTGACCAACTAATTACTCCTTCTGTTGGCATGCCAAAAAAGCAATCTGACCATCTGCGTGATTATTTACTGTGACTAGACTACAAGAAATTCTCCAGCACTTCACATTTTCTTTAAAAACCCAGTTCATCAACCCACATTCATTCAGATGGCTGTTATCAAAAAAACACAAAATAAGTGTTGGTGAGAATATGGATAAATTGGAACCTGTGCACACTGTTGGTGGGAATGTAAAATTACAGCGCCACTATGGAGAACAGTATACAGTTAACCAAAAAAATTTAAAAAAGGACTACCATACGATCCAGCAATTCCACTTCTGGGTATATATCCAAAAGAGTTGAGAGCGAGTTGAGAGCTGGGGCCTGAAGAGATATTTGTATAACCATGTTCATAGCAACATTATTCACAATAGTTAAAATGTGGAAGCAACCCAACTGTCCATCAATTGATAAATGGATAAACAAAATATTTATAATTCAGCCTTAAAAAGAAAGTTCCAGTGCATTCTAGAACATAGATGAACCTTGAGAGCATTACGTTAGACAGAAAAAGACAAATATTATACTATTTTAGTGATATGAGTTACCTAGAATAGTTCAATTCATAAACAGAAAGTAGAATGATGGTTGCAAGGGGGTTGGGGGGATGGAAATGGAGTTACTGTTAAAAGGGTACGGTTTCAGTTTTGTAAGAGAAAGAGTGCTATCATAGATGGTAGTGATGGTAGCACAATAAGAATATATTTAATGCTACCAAACTGTACATTTAAAAATAGTTAAAATGGCCAGGCGCAGTGGCTCACGCCTATAATCCCAGCACTTTGGGAGGCTGAGGCAGGTGAATCACGAGGTCAAGAGATCGAGACCATCCTGGTCAACAAGGTGAAACCCCGTCTCTACTAAAAATACAAAAATTAGCTGGGCATGGTGGTGCGCGCCTGTAGTCCCAGCAATTCAGGGCGCTGAGGCAGGAGAATTGCTTGAACCCAGGAGGCAGAGGTTACAGTGAGCCGAGATCATGCCATTGCACTCCAGTCTGGGTAACAACAGCGAAACTCCGTCTCAAAAAAAAAAAAAAAAGAAAAAAAAGCTAAAATGGTAAATGACAAATTTTATATCATGTGTACTTTACTACAATTAAAGAAAAAAAAAAAACCTCTTGTCTGATGCCATTATTGAAAGAATTCAAGGTGGCCTGAGGAAGACAAACATGATGTGAAAACCATCTTGCATATGACTTGATACCAAAGAGTTGGCAGTGACCACAACTAAACCCCAGGTATAAGTTTGTTTGAGCTACCTTAAACCTGATTATCTGCTCTTGCCATCCCTCTGCTTTGTAACTTAATCCAAGATACCAACCTGGTCTCTTCTGTACCTGCTTTTACTTGTTTGTCTGTGGCACACCTATCGGCAACTGTACTGCTTACAAGTAGGTGGCTATTCAATCTCTAGACAAAGACTGACAGCCTCCTATGCCCATCTATTACTGCCTGACTCAGCCTTCATTCCTACAAAACCTCACGACACTGCTTGTCATTAACTGATAAAAAACAAGAGATGTATTAATAAATTTTTCATATGTGGGGTGACTGATTAAAAGGACTTCAACAGTGGGTTAATATTTGGGGTCACATAAATCTTATAGATCCACTCCACAGAAAAGTGTATGTATCTAAAATTTTATATACAAATTTGGGGGCCACATAGACTCCCTTTAAAGAGCCTATCAACTCCATGGTCTCCAAATTAAGAATTTCTGTTCTTTCAAGAAGTTGTCATATATCATTAGCTTTAAAAAGTAGTCTGTGGTTTAGGAATATTTCATACACATATACAGCATTGTTTTCTTGTTTTTATCTGAGCTATAGTATTTTTAATAAGGAGCATAGATGATGTCTTACACAATACAAAAGCCCTTTTCTTTCAAGAAGTGACCAATATTCTCTGTTTGAATCCTATTTGGAGTCCTGGGTGCAGTAAGCTTAAGCAGTTATTTTCCAGTGGATCATCTATAGCAGGGGTCAGCAAGTTACTGCCAAAACCCAGTCCAAGGTTGGTTTTCTACAGCCCTGCAGCTAAGCATCATTTTTACATTTAAAAAGTTAAAATATTTAAAATATGTAACAGAAACTATGAATATTTCACATACATAGTTTCTATAAATCTTGCTCTTTATAGAAAAATTTTGCTCACCCCTAACCTAGAGGAAAGTAGTAATGTTGTCAGTAAAGATTAACTGAACAACAGTGTTTAGCATTAAGTATATTTTTCTTCTATTGAAAAATAGTAACTTTACCTTGATATAATGATTATGCCTTGATTATTTTGCTTGATCTAAACGTTTTCAGTCTTTGCTTAATTTTACCTGTGACTGAAAGAGTCTTGAAAAACATCATATAGAATAAGCTATCAGTCTGGCAAGTAAGGAAAGCTCTTATTTTTAAGTTTAGAGGTTAAAGTGGTCTAGTAATCACTGGCACCAACTCCTACCACTTTCTATAGCTAGAGTTGAATGAGTGACACAACTGACCTATCAGTGTCAGATCAGAAAGAAAACATAAGGGCAGTACAATTTCATAAAGTCTACTACTGTGCTTAAAACTTTCCATTTCCTCATTTTATACATTAAACTGATTGTACCAGATTCCATTCATAGTAATAGTTTAAGGGAAGAGTTTAAGATGATCTATTTCTGGACATTAAACCCATAAAACCCACTTCTTTTGTTCTATTGTTGTTAGTCTTTTATTTTCTCGAAAAATCAAAAATAAAATCAATACAAAATCATAACAACTCCAGCCATGCCAATAGCCTGAAAAGATACAAAGAGCACATAAGTAATTAAAACACACAAATCTTTTTCTTTCCCAAGGCTAGGAATTACATAACTTAAGATCTGAAAACTGTACATCCATCCTAAAGAACAAATAATGCTTTTTTAATGCCTTAAAATGATACCACTAACAGTAAAAGACAATACTGTATTGCGTATTGTATATGTAATGAGTATTTCTCATTACATACTGTTTATGGGAAAAAGTTTGAAAGCCATTTGCTTTTCTTCTTTAATGGAACACATTTATAAAAGAAGGGCCCTTTAGTTCTGATAAGGAAGGAAGAAATATCTGTCTGTTTAACAGACCAATGCATCAAAAAGAAAACTGTCCAAGTAGACATAGGCTATTGCCATAAATCTTTTTTAAAAAATCTCAATACAAAATAAAATTAAGTCTGTCACTTATCTTCTAAAACAAGTATTTTAACAAAAAGCCAACAATGGAAAGGTAAAAAATAAAACCAGGCACCTGTGATAGCTACAGAATTCTTTTTTGGCATAGGAAATGGTGACAGATATTATCACTGATTATGTGATTGATATCCTATATTTTGGTTTGAATAGAATAGAAAAAACTGCTTTCTTTATATATATCTGTAAATAACACCTACAATCTCATTTGGAATGGTTGCTGGAAAAACTACAGGGAAAGATCAGTTGTTGTATAAGGCAGAGACTTCTGGTTTCCAGTCCCACATGTGAAGAGCTTGGAAATCATCATGCCAGTCCCCAGAAGAAAAAAGCTGTTGATCAAACTGAAAATCAGTAACTCTTCTTAGATACAAGAAAGAACTAACGTTACACGGCAAACCGCTGCTCTAAAAACTAGAGAAGCAGAGAGGCAGATGAGCAGAAGCTCACAGGTGGAGCCAATACTGGTAGAAGCAATTAACTGAGACTGAGGAACTGATGGAGGCTCAGTGTGGATAAGCTTGAGAGTTAAAACTCCATGGGCCCAGTTTCAGAAGGACTCATAAACTTGTATGAGTTTTATCTCCAGGAGTCCTACCAGGTCTCATGGTGAAGATCAGACAAAAATTCCTTCCTGCTTCTGACAGGGGGAGGGGAAAAGCAGCCATTCTGAAATACTCCCCATTTCAAAATAAATAAGGAGAGCCTTCTGGTCTCCTTAACAAAAATCCTGCCCTCTAGAGAAACTAATTTTGCCAGAACCTAACTAACCAAGGCTTTAAAAGAGCCTAACTTACCCGTGGAAATACTCAACCGCAACCCTCTCTAGCCTTCAAGTCTCACCCAAGGGGTGGTGGGCTAAGAAGTATTCATGAAGGTCACAGGCTTACTAAAAGAAAGAGACCTATGCACAGATACTCCAGAAGGCTTCACCTACCCTTATCTTACCACCACATCAGTCAGGATCCTGGGCATTACAACTGAAAGAGCTCCCTCAGACTCTTATTAAAGCAGTCTCTAGGGAAACACATGGACAACAAGAGAGACAAAAACAAGACACTAGAGGAAATTTTAACCTTTGACACCTACAGCTACAGCAAACGATAACTCCTAGCCAGATAAACATAAAACCTCACATTAAAGGGTCATTTATCTCATTTCCTTTTACCTGATATATCATGTCTAGCTATCAGCAAAATATTATAAGCATGCTAAAAAGCAAAAAACACAGTCTGAAGAGACAAAGTAAGCATCAGGACCACACTCAGATATGGCAGAGATTTTGGAATTGGATCCCTGTTAGGAAAATTTAAATATCAAAGTTTATAATGTGAAGTTTAGTGCCACCTTACATCTGATTAACAGATTTTATAATAGTTTAACAATTCCAAATAGATGTCAGTATCAAGACCCAACTTAAAACTTTTAAAATGTGGGTGAAGTATTCCATTTTTAACAGGCAAAGATGGTAAAGAGTAAATATTTATATTCAAGATTTTTGGAGGGTTGAACAGAAGTAATCACAATTATTCAAGTTATAACTTTAATGTCTGTAAGTGTTATCCAAGTATAATAAAAACAAATACCTGTCTTTTTCTAGCTCGTTGTTTTTCAGGAGTCACCGGTTGACTCTCCGAAACAGGTATTCTACTTTTGGTGGCTCTTCTGCTTTCTTTTTTCCTTTTTGCACCTAAAAGTAGAAAAATAATGTGATAGTTTCATATTAAAGAAAAAAGAGCAGTTATATTTTTAAAGGTTATCATGAAATTCCTTTTTTTAAGCTATTCTAAGAAAAAGTACTATACATGTTTAATTTTTTCCTTCAGATCTGGAAGCAGCATGGTATAGTGCAAAGATCAGTCTTTGAAATCAGAGGGAGAGTGTTTTGAGTCTTAATTCTTTTATATGTCTTTAAACAAGTCATTTCATATCCCTGAGCCTGTCTTTCCATCATCCGTTTAAAAAAAAGGAAAAATATTTATTGTATAGGATCACTGAAATTTTCTTATGATGTTTTAGCAGTACTAAGAAGTATAATCCTTTCCTCACTCCTTTCTTATTTAAAATATATCTAACTGAAAAGAAACATAACTGTAATTATTGAAAAATGATAACTGTTTAGGCAGAAAGCCTAAGAGAATCTACAAATAGAATGAAAAGATCAGTAAGATCGCTGGGCGCGGTGGCTCAAGCCTGTAATCCCAGCACTTTGGGAGGCCGAGGCGGGTGGATCATGAGGTCAAGAGATCGAGACCATCCTGGTCAACATGGTGAAACCCCATCTCTACTAAAAATACAAAAAATTAGCTGGGCGTGGTGGCGCGTGCCTGTAATCCCGGCTACTTGGGAGGCTGAGGCAGGAGAATTGCCTGAACCCAGGAGGTGGAGGTTGCAGTGAGCCAAGATCGCGTCATTGCACTCCAGCCTGGGTAACAAGAGGGAAACTCCGTCTCAAAAAAAAAAAAAAAAAAATCAGTAAGAGCAATACACAAAAAAGCAATAGGATTTCTATTCATTAGCAGCAAACAGTTAAAATATTTAATTATAACAATAGAAAGATACTATTTACAATAGCCACAAAAATCTAACATTCTTAGAGATAACTTTTTTTTTTTTTTAAAGAGATAGAGTCTCTCTTTTGCCTAGGCTGACATGCAGTGGTATAATCATAGCCCAAACTCCTGGGCTCAAGTGATTCTTCTGCTTTATCCTCCCTCACCTCAGCCACCTGAGTAGCTGGGACTGGGACTAGAGGCATATGCCACCATGCCTGGCTAATTAAAAGATTTTTTTGTAAAGACATGGTTTCACTATATTGCCCAGGCTGCTGCTCTCTTAATTACTGGGCTCAAGTGATCCTCCTGCCTTGGCCTCCCAAAGTGCTGGAATTATAGGTGTGAGCCATCATGTCATGGTCTCTGATAACTCCAGCAAAAGTGGTGCAACGTCTATATGTAGTAAATTATAAAGCTGTACTATGTATATAAAACAGATTATGAGAAGCTTTACTCTACCTACCTATCGTTGGCCCTCTATATTTGCAGGTTCCACACTGTGGATTCAACCAACCTTGGAATAAAATATTCAGGGGGGAAAATATACAACAATAAAAATGATATAAATAAAAATATAGTCTAACATCTATTTACTAGTTATTTATCATTTACATTGTTTTAGTTACTCTAAGTAATTTGGGGATGAGTTTAAGCATGTGGTAGGCAGGTGCATAGGTCTATATGCAAAGACTATACCATTTTATGTAGGGATTTGAGAATTTTGGTATCCCTCATGGGGTAGGGGAGGATGCAGGTCCTGGAACCAACCCCCTGTGAAAACCAAGGGATGACTATATATATAAAAACATGTTAGAGAAGTATATTTTGTTCATGCATAGGAAAACTTAATGTAATGGTGTCAGTTCTCTGCAAAATCATCTATTGTTAACAATGCAATTTCACATAAAATTTCAACAGGGTTCTTTGTATAATTTAACAAGATTATTCTAAAATTATGTGTTAAGGGAAGTAGTCCATCATTGGCTCTGAGCACCCCTGCAATTCTTGTTGAATGTACAAAAGCTTATTCATCTCCTGATACTGTGCATTTTCTATAGCCAGTCAGATAGGCAATTAAGCAGATCAAGGAAACCACAGCATGACCACCAGGCAACTGCTCTCTCTGGGAGAGGGTACTGGCTTGTTTGCTATTTGTTACAATGTTTTGTTGCTTACTCAAAAGCGCTGAGCCCTTGGCTCCCAGTTTTCCTCAGCTGAAATATAACTTACTGCCTTCACAGCACACATTTAGATCTGCTGCATAGTCCATGGGACTTAGGTTAGGGAAATCTGAACAACTATATCAATGCCATGATGTTTGCTATGCCATAATAATCTGTCTTACTCTAACTCATTAAGTCATTAAGTCTTATTGTCTACCTTTTGTACCTATAAAGTAGGAGCAGGTTTACTGCTTATAAAGCCCTATGGCTAAGTTTTTTCCCTGACAATATGGAAGACCAAAACACCAGAATAGTCAAATACTCTTGAAGAACAGTAAGATTACCCTACTACAAATTGAGTTATTACAAAACTACAGTAACTGAAACAATATGGTATTGCTGCAGAAGTAGACCAAGAGACCTAAACATACGTGGGATTTTACCATACCAATATATAATTGGGTAGGTCCCAGTCAGGAAATTGGAAACCATACTAACTCTGATGGAGAGATTTTAGTATTAGGATAAATGTTTAAACAGGTACTAGAGGACTAAAAAAGTTAAGAGGAAATAAATTAACATAAATATAAAGACAAATTCATAATTATAGTAAGAGATTTTATCACTTCTCTAATTGATAGAAAAAGTAGGCAGGAAATGAGTATGTATATAGAATACCTGAACAGCATTATTAAAAACTTAACCTAATTGACATTTTAAACACTTCATTCAACAACACCAGAATTCACGTTCTTCTATGTGCACATTCAAATGGACCAGGATAAACCATACTATTGGCCATAAAACAAATCTTAAATAAAAAATCTATGAAGCATATTCACAGACTGAAATAGAATTAAACTAAAAATCAGTAACAGAAAGGTATCTGGAAACTAAACAACTTCCCTCATAGGTCAGTAAAAAAGTCTCTAAGGAAATGAAAACATGTTTTGAACTGAAAATCCAACATGGAAAAACAATGTTACAAATCTTGATTATATAAAATATAACCAAGAAAAACTGGTGATTGGTGGAAGAAATTTTTGCTAAGGTCAAGCAACAGGCTAAAGTTGATTGACTAAGGTTGACTGACCTCTTAAAGCATTTCATATTCTTTGTTTTACAAAGATCATAAAGGTTACTGACAGACTTCTTGTGAAACCACCTTTATCTGAAGTACTGAATCCTTGTTTTACATTTTAAAAATTAAATGTAAATATATTTTAAAGTTAACATGTGTAACTTGATCATATTTTTCTAAAATTTTATTTGCTTTGAATCTACCCACTCTTCTATTGAAGCAGTCCATCTAAGCAATTAAAAGCGTGGGCTCTGGAGTCAGACTATCTGATTTCAAATTTTGGCTCCTGTTCTGTTCATATACTGTGTAACCAAAGACATTTTATTTACCTTTTTAAATCTCAGCTTCCTCATCTATATAATGGAGATGATTTAAGAAAAAAAAAAAGCATTGATCTCATAAGGTTGTTTTGAGGATTGAATGAGTTTACATATAAAAAGAGGATTGAATGAGTTTACATATAAAAAGAGGATTGAATGAGTTTACATATAAAAAGCTTTCACTCAAATATTAATAATTTCACTAAATGCTGGTGAGTTTTTCTGCACAGATGAAATCTGGATAATCTGGCTTTTTCAACTTTTCTGAATTACCTGATTTTTTTCCCTAAGCACATGTCAATTTTACAACACAAAAATTAATTTTTGAAAACAAGATGAGGGTTGGGAGCAGTGGCTCATGCCTGTAATCTCAGCACAATAACAGCGAGCAGATCGCTTGAGTTCAGGAGTTAGAGACCGGCCAGGGCAACATGGCACAACCCCATCTCTACAAAAAACTACAAAAAGGCCAGGTGTGGTGGCTCATGCCTGTAATACCAGTAATTTGGGAGGCTGAGACAGGTGGATTGCCTGAGGTCAGGAGTTCCAGACTAGCTTGGCCAACATGGTGAAACCCCATCTCCACTAAAAATACAAAAATCTGCCAGGTGTGGTGGCACACTCCTGTAACCCCAGCTACTTGGGAGGCTGAGGCAGGAGAATCACTTGAATCCTGGAGACGGAGGTTGCAGTGAGCCAAGATTGAGCCACTGCACTTCAGCCGAGGTGATAGAGACTTGTCTCAAAAAAAAAAAAGCACACACACACACACACACACACACACACACACACAAACTAGCAAGGTGTGGTGGCATGTGCCTGTGGTACCAGCTACTTGCGAGGCTGAGGTGGGAGGATCACCCGAGCCTAGGGATATAGATGCTGCAGTAAGCCAAGATATCACCACTGCACTGCATTCATTCCAGCCTGGGCAACAAAGTAAGACTCTATCGCCAAAAACAGAAAAAGAAAAGAAAAAAAGGTTTAGCACAAATAAACTTATTACTTATTGTCTGCAAACTATAAAGAGGGGGTACTTGGGTACCATTGAAGTACACTGGATTTTTAAAAGAAAACATACTTACTACTGATACCTAATAAAATGTGCTAAAACTCAAACTTTATAGGCTCAACAGCCACAGTCACTGTCAAGCCAGTCTGCAATGAGTTTACAGTCTTTGAGTTTGCTGATAAACCATGTTTTCTCCTTTTTTGAGATAGTCTTGCTCTGTCACCCAGTCTGGAGTGCAACCTCCACTTCCTGGGTTCAAGATGGACTCTCGTGTGCCTCAGCCTCCCGAGTTGCTGGAATTATAAGCAGGCACCACCACACCTGGCTAATTTTTTCTATTTTTAGTAGAAATGGGGTTTTGTCATGTTGCCTAGGCTGGTCTCCAACTCCTGAGCTCTTCAGGCAATCCACCCACCTCAGCCTTCCAAAGTGCTAGGATTATAGGCATGAGCCACTGCTCATGTGTTTTCTTTTCTTTGAAACCTGTGTTTTCTTTTCTTTGAATTTCGTACTATTAAATTAAAAGTCTACAAAAATGCTCACATTATTCTCATTTAAAATGATTCTCAGCCACCTTGCTGCAATAGGTATAGAAAACCAATCTTGGAACTCCACCAATATTAGCAAATAACTATTGAGTTTCCATTTCCATTTTCTCATCTTTAAAATAAGAATGATGTCTATGAATGTATATATTTTAGAGCTGTATTTACAAATATTTGCTAATGGTAGCCCTGTCATCAGTCATCAGGTATGAACAAATGTATTCTATCTAACTGGAGATGGATTAAAGAAAAAAAAATTATTCTATGATATTTACTGCAGGCCTATCATTTGCCTGGCATCAAGATGGTACCTTATGAGCATTGAGCAATAAACCTAATTTCATTAGTCTGTTATTTTTATCAATAAGTATTTAGGCTTAGATCTATATCAAAAATCTTTGTTATCAGTTCAGTACCTAAAATATTAATGTGGGGTCAATAAACATTCGTTAAATGAATATATATCACCCCCCCAAAAAACTTGTAATCAAATTAAAATTGAAAACAATTATGGACTGCTTTTAAGAAACTTTGTATTTTCTTTTTTTGGGTATTGTTAGTTTGTTATTTTTTGTTTTGGGAGGGGATTTTTTTTAGTCCCTTCTACAACATCCAGAGGTTTTTGTATTTTCTTTTTTTTTAAATCAAGGAATGCCTTTTATAAAAAAATAAATTATAAATGCCGTAAGAAGAGTATATAGATCCTGTGTGTGTGCATGTGTGTGTGTATATAATCAATCTTCATTATTTATGAATTCTACTTGTTGTCTACCCAGTAAAAATCTGTCTAACCCCAAAATCAATACTGTGGCACTTTTTAGAGTCACTGGTAGATATGTGCAAAGCAGCAAAAATTTTGAGTTTTCAGTGCACACATCTACAGCTGAGGTTACACAAGGTAACACTCTGCCTTCTTTCAGCTCTCATACTATCAACAAGGGTCTTTCTCACAGTTTATCTAGTGACACATTTTTGCTTTCTGTTGGTGGTTTTGCTGTTTAAAATGGACCCCAAATATAGCAATGAAGTGCTATATAGTGTTCCTAAATTCAAGAGGCTGTGATGTGATTTACAGAGAAAACAAATGTGTTATATAAGCTTCACTCAGACCGGAGTAATATAGTGTTGTTGGTAGTGATTCATTGTTAATGAGTTAACAATAATTAAGAGTCTTTAAACAGAAACACACATAAAACAAAGGTTATGTACTGATTAGTTCACAAAAATGCTGTGACCATAGGCTTGCAGAAACATAACCCTTTAATTCCCCTAGGAGTAATGATTCAGTATTTGCTAATTCAACACTCTCAGACTATAAAACGTAACTACTGTGAATAACAAGAAACAACTTGTTTCAGAAAAGTAACTACAGTCATGTAGTTTAGTGTTTCAGAAAAGTAACTACTGTCATGCATTGCTTTACAAGGGGGATACACTGAGAAAAAAGTCTTTGAGTGATTTTGTCCTTATGCGAACGTTCTAAGAGTGCACTTACACAAACTTAAATATATATTTTTTATATAGAAATGAAAATATATACTTATATTTTCCTATAGAAAACTCACAGTTCCCAGTTCCATTGCTAATTATCAATCATTTCCCCTACTTCATATGCAATGCCAATATCAAGTGCCACATTATCAAGATTCTATATATGCTCCATTACATTATTACAGGACCACCATCCTATATGCAATGCAGTCTCTCTTTGAGCGAAATGTCACGATGTGCCTTATAACTACATTTGAAGTTGCTGAATATAGTCAAGGTAGAAAAGCAGTGTACTTTTATAGTAAAATAACTCTAAGCTAGATAATCAAATGGTTAACTTTCTAAATTAAGCACTACACCACCTCAATTAACTCTATGAAGTCAAAACTTTGTGCTTCAGTTTTCTGAAGTGTGTGTTTTTTTGTGTTATAGTAGTAAGGTCAATGGGGGGATTGTCTGAGGACACATCAATTCTCCCCTTCTAAAACCGTCATAACAGTACTCACTTTGAAGAGTTCCTACTCTTCTTTCTTTATTAAGTTCTCGTTGCTGGGTTCCATGTTTCAATTTAGATAGGAAAAGATTCTTGTGAGACCTAAAACAAAATATGAAAGCTTGTGATTGGTTCTAGAAAGATAAAGCAACAGAAAAAAGGTAAATGATTTGCCTTAATCTATTCTAGGATCTTCTACTAATACTTTGGCCCATTTCTTTTGGTGCTCTCCCTGCTTAGTGCCCCATCTTAACCTGTGGCCTCTTAAGGTTTCTGTTGCCTCTCTCATCTTTCTCCATTTCATCTACTCAGCAGAAATCAAGATGTTTTTTGATGCCTCAGGAGGCGGCAAAATAAATAAATAAATAAAAAACAAAAACACAAAACTCTTTTGGCCTTCCAATTAGATACATCGAGGAAAAAAATCCTTAAACTACAAAGCATTAGTTTTCATTCTCTCATGGCTTTTATTTCCCCAAAGACAAATTCCAAAATTCTTTTACATAATGGCAGATATCATTTGACTATCTTTACAGCTTCCAAAAAGAGTTTTAAAAGGTGAGGCTGCTTGGAAACACAGGAAGTGGCATCATTTTTTAGAAAACCCTGCCTAGTTGGTAGTATATTAATCCAGTTTTATGAAGGAGTGAACTAAGATTCAAAAAGCAGTTCACCTAAACTTAGGCAGCTGTATTAACTCCACTTAAAATGTAGGTTCTTTTAGCTATACTTTTATCCCTATGGATACTCTATGTCACCAGATATCCTTTCCTTCTTCCCCTCTCCCCCACTTCACAAGACTTTCTATTGTCCTTTCTGGAATGTCATTCTCAACCTCATTCCTCCTCTCTTTGCCTTGTCAAAAATCTAGCTCTCCCCCGGGGACAACGTTTCTCTCCTTGGTAACCTTCTCTAGTAGAGATCAGCTTAATCTTCCACTCTCCATAAACTACAGGACTCCAGAGACAGCAGTTTTCATTTCCTAATGAATGCCACTTCCAAGGTCCTGTTTCCATAGAAACTTCAGCCTTGAGGGTTCATGCCACTGAGATGTAACACCTTTGATCATTATTCACAGCCATTCACCATCCTTCCAAGATCTTCATCATTCACAGATCTTTCTCTACACCTAAGGGCTGCTATTATGACTTATTTCAGTGTTCTCACGGACAATTCATATACCATTCTGACCTCTCAATTCCTCATGTCTAATCACCTCCACCACACCAAGTCAGCCACCCCCTCCCATGGTTCCACTTGTGATTCCAAACTGCTCTATCTTCGAAATCATTCATGCAGACTTTCTGCTCTCTGGACATATTATATTGTCTGTCACAGCAATTCTAGTAGATTGAATAGTTTTTCAAGTAAATTTCATAAAATTGGCATTTGGGACATTCATTAGAAATGTAATCCCCATCCCCTTCCTGCCCCAGTATTGTATCTTTGTTTCTATGACAGATAAGAGTTTACTAAACTTCTGTTTTAAGCTCAAGAACTCCCTATATGTGTATTTCAATAGTGGCTTTGTAGAAGCAATGTGAAACAACCCAGTCTCAGAAGCAGGTCTCTATAGTTTGGAATTTCGAGATATCTCAGAGTCGTGAATATTTGGCTAAGTAGGACACTGAGATATTCTTTAAATTGTACCATTTATGTGGTAGTTATTATATTAGGTCTGCATGAATTGCTTCAATCAAAGATTTGAAAGACAAAGAAGAAAAATGTCAATTTACTTCACCTCAATAAGGATACTGTACCCTCTGAGGATTCAGTTACCGCAGACTGTTTGTCACTAACACTTTAAAAGAAGAAAAAATTTGTAAGAATGTAAACAAAAGAAACTTTTCATAAGGATAGTATTTTCCACATAGTCAAACCATATTTCAATTTTTAAAAAATAACTTTGGAAAGAAACCTTGGTAACATTGGGACATACACAGTCCATTACATCATGGCTAATTTTTGTCCAAACATGCTTATAAGAGGTATTAAATCAAGCTCCTCCAAACATAAGCATAATTAATGCTGTAGTCAAGCATTTGTAATAATCTTCTTTCAATAATAATAATCTCTTTCAAACTTCTATGGTATTTTATTTCCATGAATTCAAGTTTTTTTTTTTTTTGAGACGGAGTTTAGCTCTTGTTACCCAGGCTGGAGTGCAATGGCGCAATCTCGGCTCACCGCAACCTCCGCCTCCTGGGTTCAGGCAATTCTCCTGCCTCAGCCTCCTGAGTAGCTGGGATTACAGGCACGTGCCACTGTGCCCAGCTAATTTTTTGTAATTTTTAGTAGAGACGGGGTTTCACCATGTTGACCAGGATGGTCTCGATCTCTTGACCTCGTGATCCACCCGCCTCGGCCTCCCAAAGTGCTGGGATTACAGGCTTGAGCCACCGCGCCCGGCCGAATTCAAGTTTTTAAAATGCTTTATTAACGTATAACTGATACCTAAAAAGCACATGTTTAAAGTTTGTAATTTGATGGGTTCAATTTTAATTTATTGTTCTCTCCACCAGTGTCCAATTGAACTTTGGGGCATTGATTAATTCCCTCTATTATAGTTAAAATAGTTTCTACAAACACGGCATGATTATTTACACCTCCATGCTTTCACTGGTACTATTCCTCTCTCCTAAAATGGTATTTCCTCTTCTATCCGTCTATAAAAATCTTAACCATCCTACAAAAGCCCCTGCTCAAGACTAGTTCCTTCATGAAGCTGTCCATCTCAATTATTAAACATTGTGCTAGATATTTTAAGTAACCTAGAGATGATTTAAAGTATATGGGAGGATGTATGTAGGTTATATGCAAATATTACACCTTTTATATATTTTTTGAGACAGAGTCTTGCCTAGGGTTAGACAGGCTGGAGGACAGCTTACTGCAGACCTCCTGGGCTGAAGTGATCTTCTCACCTAAGCCTCTCAAGTAGTTAGCACTACAGGCATGTACCACCATGCCTGGTTAATTTTTGTAAAGACAAGTTTCTGCATGTTGCCTAGGCTGATCTCCAGTGATCCTCCTGCCTCAGCCTTTCAAAGTGTTGGGACTACAGGTATGAGCTACTGTTCCTGGCTATTACACAACTTTTGTAAGATACCTGAGCATCCGTGGATTTTGGTATTCATGGGGGATAGATGTCCTAGGACTAATCCCCTTCAAACACCAAGGGACAACTGTATACACTATATCAGAGCAAAATACTTATTTCATCTAGTCTGAATAACATGGGGGTTTTAATTTTTCTAGCATTTGACCTCACAATCACACTTCTGATTCTATACTTGCTTCATGTGAATCCTACTGGTAACCATCCTGATACTGGTGATTTGATGTTTTATTTGCCTTGGCTCTGCTTCCAGGATAGTTTTAGTATTTGCTTGATTCTTGATCTTTAACCTGTTTCTAGTTTTAGTTTTATTCCCTGTAACTAGTGTACAGTAATTCTAATACATGCCTGGTAATGAATTAGGCAACAAGGATACCAAGCTAATGAAGATGCTTCAAAGCTAATTAAGAAACTTCAAATAATTCTCAATCTAGTAAAAGCATCAGATAGGTAAACAGATAAGTTACTAATGAAGATAAGTCCTTTTATAGAGATGTATGCTATGAAAGCAAAGAGTAACAACTCTGATGAGAGCTGGGCAAGACTTCATACAGATGATCTCTGAGATATATTAAATGTCAAGTAAGAGCTTGCCATGAAGAGAATAAAAGGAATTCAAATAGAAGGAACAAAGCAAGGGTACAGGTAGGAAAACGTCTAACATTTTAAGATAAAGGAGAAGTTCTGTGCTGCTAGAAAGTACCATGTACGTGGGCAGAGGGATTCATGCTTAGGGATAAGATTGTATATGGCAAAAAAATAGAAAGGGTCTATGTAAGGCTTTATGAGCCATGCCAATAAATTCTGACTCATCTAGTAGGAAATAGGAGCCAGAAGTTTTTTAAGCTGAGAAGTGATCTAAAGAGATTTATTTCTGTGGAAGCTAACTCTGGAGGTTATGTCAAGGATGAATTTGAATGGTACAAAGCTACATAAATGATAATAGATTGGAGAAGCATTTCTGAGGTGGGTTTCTTAATACTTGGAGAGACAACTGGATGTGTGAAGTTAAAGAGGCAGGGTGTAGATAGGCAAATGAGAACATGAAGAGTTCTGTTTGGTACACACGGATTGCATTGTGTTTTTGTCTGGGAGCGCACCTGTAGTAAGTGGGTAGTACTGTATAAGAAGAGTCCTTCCATAGGAAGTGTTCTCATCATTATCTGTAAGAGCCATGGTATTAGCAGTATTATTGTGAGCAAGATGGCTTGGCCATAGAATGTATTGGGTATTAGTATCATTAAACTTTGATTTTCTAAATAAAATGAAGTAATTGGGCCAATAAATATGGAATCTCTACTTCTTAAACTGGATTTTAGAAATAAACAGTACATCAATGGGAAATAAGACTTTAGTACAGAATTTGGAGAGACGAACCAGTGAGGAACAGGTCATGCTTTGACAGGCAGGAACAATAGGAGGGACCACTATAAGATGACAGCCTCAGTCCTGAGATGTGACAAATGTAGTGTAGATCCAACTTGAACCCCAATCACCTCTAATTAAGTAGTTAAGATGGGGTCCCTGCAGCACTTAAGTCATGGTCCCAAGAAAAAAAGAGTAATATTATACCCATTTCCTACCACAGGGATTTGATTATCTGGCCTTGGTTTAAGGGTAGAAGAACTGAGAAAATAGACCATGAGTTCAATAGAAAAGAAGATCTTTATAATGTTAAAGTTGTATCTTCAATAAGGAAAAATACTTAAGCTTCTAAAGCAAAAGACAAAAATCACCCCTGAAAATCTCTAAAGAAAAAATAAGTTTGGAGACTTAACAACTGTCTCTCAATATTTAGGACTGATACAACCTGTTTTCCTCCAGTATTAAAGCAAATAACTATTTCTTCAGTTGAGCACTGGATGAAGCAGTGAGCTTACCCTTAGAGAAGATACATGAATAAATCTTAAAACACTAGACTCATAGTACAGTGAAACATGAATCACATAAGGAGAACATGTAAAACCTAAAAACAACTAAGGGGCATGGGATTCCAACCTCACCCTTGTTCCTGAGCATACCCTCAGTGAGAATGGTAAATTATCCACATTATTTAAACTGTAATATTTTCTTATTCTCTACTTTTGCTTAGTATATATAATTTGTACAGGTCAAGAAATAACTCTACAGTATTCCATATACCTAAATATTAATCATCAGCAAGATAACATGCTACTCAATAATTATTTTTAATAAAAAGATTTGCATCAATTTTACCGAAAGACAGAACATTCGTAAGACAAAGAATATACTAATTGATTAAATTACAAACCTTTTTCTTGTATCCAAGTTAGCTTCAGTTTCCATTTCAACATCATTACCATTAGGTTTATCTTGAGAAGTTGTTGTTCTTGCTCTTTTACTTTCTACTACTTTTGCTGCTGCCTTAAAAAACAGTGTGTGTGGAGGTAGGGGGATAGGAAGAAATGCATTAAGCCATTTTAAACAAATAGCATTAAATTAAGCCTCATAATTCTTTGATAGTCATTGCCAAAGTATTTGTTCCCAGGCCAATAAAGGGCACTGTGTTGTTATTTTCACCAATCATTATGACACTGCCAGCAGCTACATTAGCTACCTGCTTGGTTTATCAGCATTATGAAGGTGGTTTTTCCTTGTAAATATATTTGATAGATGCAACGATCTCTAGGCAATTTTAAAAGAAAATGCTGCATGAAAAAAATGAATAAAAATTCTAGATATTTTGAAATAAAAATTATCTCAAGTCAATCAATATGTTTCACTATAATAACAATGTCAACTTAAAACTTTTGAGGCCACAACAAAGAAAAAAATGTTATTAGAAAACTTTTATTGTTAGGCGGGGCGCGGTGGCTCAAGCCTGTAATCCCAGCATTTTGGGAGGCTGAGGCAGGTGGATCACGAGGTCAAGAGATCGAGACCATCCTGGTCAACATGGTGAAACCCCGTCTGTACTAAAAATACAAAAAATTAGCTGTGCATGGTGGTACGTGCCTGTAATCCCAGCTACTCAGGAGGCGGAGGTTGCGGTGAGCCGAGATCGTGCCACTGCACTCCAGCCTGAGTAACAAGAGCGAAACTCCGTCTCAAAAAAAAAAAACCAAAAAAACCTTTTATTGTTGTTTGTTCTGAGACGGGGTCTCGCTCTGTTGCCCAGGCTGGAGTGCGGTGGCACAATCACAGCTCACTGCAGCCGCAACCTCCTGGGCTCAGGTGATCTCCGACCTCAGCCTTCCAGGTTGCTGAGACTATAGGCGTCTGCCACTACGCCTGGCTAAATTTTTGTATTTTTTTGCAAAGATGGGGTTTTGCCATGTTGCCAAGGTTGGTCTCAAACTCCTGGACTCAAGCAATCCACCCATTTCTGCCTCCCAAAGTGTAGGGATACAGGCGTGAGCCACTGCACCTGACCAGAAATGTCTTTTTGAGACAGGGTCTCATTCTGTCACCCAGGCTGGAGTGCGGTGGCTCAACCTTAGCTTAATACATCCTCAACCTGCCAGGTTCAAGCAATCATCCTACCTCAGCCCTGCCAAGTAGCTGGGACTACAGGCATATGCCACCATGCCCTGCTAATTTTTCGGTAGATAAGGGGTTTCACCATGTCACCCAGGCTGGTCTGGAACTCCTGAAGATTGGCCTCTCAAAGTGCTAGGATTATGGGTGTGAGCCACCACGCCTGGCCTAGAAACTTTTAAAAGCCCCATCTTTAATGCAATTCTACTTTTCTCCCAAAATGTATTTAAAAACATCTTTAAAATTTACTTAAATTACAATGAATATTTGCTTTTGCTTATTTCTTATTTTCAATTTATTCTAAGTTTTTCCCTCAACCTTTTCTTTTAAAAAGTTTCCTAAACTAATTTTGAAAAATTACAAAAATACTACAAAGATCACCCATAAATCTTTTAATTAGGTCCACAAAATGTAACATTTTATCACATTCTTCTACAAAACCACAATGAAAAATTCTGTTTTTTTTTTTTTTGAGAATCTCACCCTGTCACCAGGCTGGAGTGCAGTGGCATGATCTTGGCTCACTGCAACCTCTGCCTCCTGGGTTCAAGAGATTCTCCTGCCTCAGCATTGTGAGTAACTGGGACTACAGCGCGCAACACCATGCCCAGCTAGTTTTTGTATTTTTAGTAGAGGTGGGGTTTCACCATGTTGGTTAGGATGGTCTCAATCTCTTGACCTTATGATTCACCCACCTCGGCCTCCCAAAGTGCTGGGATTACAGGAGTGCGCCACTGCGCCCAGTAGATTCTTTTTAGTTTTAAGGACTACTATTTCAAGTATTCTTCCTTATTAAAACATTTCCTTTAAGTCTATTATTAGAGTCACTCTTGAATAATACGTATACCTTCATTAGAAAGGTTGATGATTTTTCACTTAGCACATCATTCACATAACTCTTAACTTTCTCCATCATGTGGTTGTAACTGAAGTGTTGAAATACAGAATGGTATGTATCTTTCTGAGAGATTATCATAAGCAATTTCCTTTTTAAAGGCTAAAGAAAACAGAAGAAATTTATTAACATAAATCACATAAAGTTACAGACACAAGAATTTTTGTCATATATTATTTAATTGAAAACATCACTTTATATATATATATATATTTTTTTTTTTTTTTTGAGACGGAGTTTCGCTGTTGTTACCCAGACTGTAGTGCAATGGCACGATCTCGGCTCACCACAACCTCCGCCTCTGGGTTCAAGCAATTCTCCTGCCTCAGCCTCCAGAGTAGCTGGGACTACTGGCGTGCACCACCATGCCCAGCTAATTTTTGTATTTTTAGTAGAGACGGGGTTTCACCTTGTTGACCAAGATGGTCTCCATCTCTTGACCTTGTGATCCACCCGCCTCGACCTCCCAAAGTGCTGGGATTATAGGCGTGAGCCACCGTGTCCGGCCAATTAACATCACTTTATAAACGCAGAGACACAAGAGATTTTTAAAATTAAGTTTTAAATGACATGCCAATGTACTTTTTTCTGACTTCTTCTGGCCTCTACCTCATTTAAAAAAATATTTTATATTTCAGACAGTCGCAAAAAGTTAAGTATTATAAACCAGAGTATCTATCACCCAGTTTAAGAAATAAAACATTATCAACATGTAAAATCCCTGTTTACTACCATAATCTGATTGTATCCCCTTTCCTCTCCTCACTGTAACCATTACCCTGAATTTAAAATTTACCATTCCCATGAATTCCTTTACTTGCACTACATACGAATATAACCACAAATAATATGTAGCAATGAATAGCATGGTTTTAACTTTAAACAAGTGGTGCCTTACTATGTGTATTCTTCTGAAACTTGCTATTATTTTACTCAACTTGATGTTTATATTTATCCACTCTGATCTGATATTCCTAGAAATAGTTATTTTTACCTCTGTAAAGTACTATACTGATCAAAAACATCACTATGCATCCATTCTTCAAGCCTATTGAGGGATTTAGGCTATTTGCAATTACTGCATTGCTCTTAGGCATTTTTTAAACATTATCTTCTGTGCATTGTATGTGTTTTTCTTAGTAACTCTTTCAATGCTGGCTGCACAACAAAAGCTGTAAACTTTAAAAAAAATTCTTAGGCTTGATCCCAGACCAATTGTCTCAGGAAGGCCTGTTTTTTTTGTTTTAGTTTCTGTTTTGTTTTTGATATGGAATCTTGCTGTCACCCAGTTGGAGTACAGTGGCACAATCTTGGCTCACTGCAACCTCTGCCGCCCAGGTTCAAGTGATTCTCCTGCCTCAGCCTCCTGAGTAGCTGGAACTACAGGCGTGCGCTATCACACTCGGCTAATTTTTTTTGTATTCAGTAGAGACGGGGTTTCACCATGTTGGCCAGTATGATCTCGATCTCTTGACCTCAGGATCCTCCCATCTTGGCCTCCCAAAGTGCTGGGATTACAAGCGTGAGCCACCGCGCCCGGCCTGTTTTTGTCTTTAAAGCTTCACAGTTTTTAAAATGTGCAGTTAAAAGTGAAACCAGCCATTCTAGGGTATTATCTAGAAGTAGAATTGCTAGAATACATGCTTAAAAGATTTTGCACTGGGGGTGGGCTTCACACCTGTAATCCCAGCACTCTGGGAGTCCGAGGTGCGTGGATCACGAGGTCAGGAGTTTGAGATCACCCTGGGCAATATGGTGAAATCCTGTCTCTACTAAAAATTCAAAAATTAGCCGGGCATGGTGGCACGTGCCTGTAGTCCCAACTACCCAGGAGGCTGAGGCAAGAGAATTACTTGAACCTGGGAGGCAGAGGTTGCAGTGAGCTGAGATAGTGCCACTGGACTCTAGTCTGGGTGACAGAGTGAGCCTCTGTCTCAAAAAAAAAAAAAAGATGTTGCTAAAATGATCTCCCACAGAAGTACCAATTTACAGTCTTGAAAGAAAGTTATGGCAGGCAGTATAATCATTTCTTAAACTTTTGAGACAACTGTTGGTATTCTAAGACATTTTAACTGATGCCAATCTGAGAAATGAGAAGTGGTGTTTCAATATATTAATTAATATTGCCCTAATAAGGCAACACTAATACTAGTGAGGTTAAGCACTTAGCTTAACCTCTTAATGCTTCCTGGCCATAAGTTTTCCTTTTCTGGGAGGTATAAGGAGAGTAGAATTTTCAGTAGTCTCATCGTGCTATGGAGAAAATATAAGGGCAGGAAACCCAACAGACATATCAGACTACTGGATGAAATTTCTGGAGGGTTATAGCCCAGGGACAGAATCAAATTAGAGACAGACAAAGCCTGACAAACCTACTCTAAACTAGGCCCAGATTCCTTATTGGATTAAGGTAGTCACTCTCCAATTCTATCTTACCAGTGTATCAAAAGGTGCTCAATCTGATTATTCATCAGGGAAACAAAATCCAATGTGATAAATCCAATGTGATAGCATTATATATTTGCCTGAATGGCTAAAATGAAAACAGATGGTAAGGTCTGTGGAGCAACTAGAATTCTTTCATACTACTGGAGGAATTCACATAACTACTTTGGAAAACACGTTGGCAAAACTAAAGGTATGTACATACTCTACTAAAACTGAGTATGTACATATCTTATGACTCATCAATTTGACTCCTCATATAAACACAAAAGAAATGCATACATTTGTTCCACAAAATGCATGGGGGAAAAAAAATTGCACTTCTACCGAACACATACAGACTTTTTTTTGTCTGTATTTTTTTGTTCCTAAATAGTACAACTATTTACATTGCATAAGTCATTATAGATAATCTAGAGATGATTTAAAGTATATAGAAGAATGTACATATGTTATATGCGAATACTACATTATTTTATTATTTATTTTTAGAGACAGGGTCTTTCTCTGTTGCTTAGGCTGGAGTGCAGCAGCAGCATCATAGCTCACTGCAGCCTTGACTTCCTGGGCTCAAGCAGTCCTCCCATTTCAGGACTACAATAGTATGCCACCATACCTAGCTAATTTTTATTTTTTTTTGTTGAGAACAGGGTCTTGCTGTGATCCTTCAGTCTTAGCCTCCTAAAGTACTGGTATTATAGGCATGAGCCATTGCAGCTGGCCTCTTTTTACTTTTTTAATGTGACTACTGAAAAATTTTATTTATCTTTCGTTATTTACTTTTTATTTATTTATTTTTTGAGAGATGAGTATCTCCCCACGTTGACCAGGCTAGTCTTGAATGCCTGAGCTCAAGGGATTCTCCCACCTCAGTCTCCCAAAGTGCCAGAATTATAGGTGTAAGCCACTGCATCCAGCTTACTAGAAAATTTTAAATCACATATGTGACCGGCAGTCTTTCTATTGCATAGTATTATTCTATACTGTTTAAAAGATAAAGCAATTATTTTCTCCTCCAATTTTCTTTCAGTTTTCCTCATTCTATATAAACAGTTCTAAAATTCTATGGTTGTAATTAAACAATTACCGCGCAAGAATTTGGATCACCAAATATTCTTTCAAAGACTTCTTCTGCTTCCTTAAAGTTGCCATTTTCCATACAAACAGCTATAGCCTAAAAGATGAAAAATACCAACCTCAGACTGCATTTAAAAATATCTAATAGTTATTTAATTATTAAAATAACTCAGGGAAGTCTGAAATCCTTTACTGAAAACATTTTTATGTAGTTTAATAATTTTAATTTGATAAATGATACAAATGCTTTTTAAAGACAAAATAAGTGTGGCTTGAAATGACATGAAAACGTTGCATTGGTCCCATGTACCTTTACTTATAAATGCCCAGAATTCTATCTCTAATTTAGACCAAATTAAAAGTATGTGTTAATAAATAAATTAGAAGCCATACCATGCACATTTAGTACCAACCTAAATACTAATTTTGAGTAAAAGGAAAATGAGATGATGTTTGTAATAATTAGGATACATAAAATTTGCTAGTCAGAATCTCTGGAAGATCTCTAATACAAACGTAAGAAGCTAAATGTTTTTGAATGACCACTTTTTTCCTGCCTTTTTGGTAACATGGTAAGACAGGACCACCATTACCATCTGGGTAGCTATGTAAACTTGGTAAGCCACTTAACTTCTTGGTGCCCCAGTTATCTTATATGTAAAATGGTGGAAACAATAGTACCTATTTCATAGGATTGTTACGAGGATGTAAGAGTTCTATGTGAAAGAGTTTAGAAGAGTGCCTGGCAAACAGTAGGCAATATATTAAACATCTGTTATAAACTTTGTTGCCCATTCAACTTTATAGTAGCGTATTGACAAAGACTTGCTTCCTCTAGTGGGCCAAAAGACTGTAATAACATGACAAATCTCTTTGCCCTGGGTTGAATTCATAAAGGAAGCAGCTGTTTTTATGCCCATTTTCTTCTCTTCAGGTCCTAATACTACTTGACAATCACCACCCTAATTCTTGGGAAGGTGGGGAACGACCTGGATTTTCCTTTTCTATGCCGTAAAGAAATTTTTAAAATTCTCAGAAGAGAAAAAGTTTATTTAACTAAGAAAGTACCTACTATTTGCTTTGACTGCTAGCTATTATATCTTTGAATGACTTTTTTGGGCTACTCACTGTCTACTAAAATTCTCCCTACATGGTTAAAATTTTGATCATAAAAATCTAAAATTTACCATTAATTAAAAATATTATCTACTTTTTTCATAATCTTTAAATATCAATTGGGAGAGCACAAACCCTTGGTCTTAAAATTTTCCACAACATGGAAGCCACGTATACTTAAGTATGGAACATTAAGTCCCAAACCCCAGTGCTCATGTTAAGACTACAAACCAAAGGTCAAATTTCTGAAGAGAAAGAATATATTAGCTGGGCGCTGTGGCTTACACCTGTAATCCCAGCTCTTAGGGAGGAAGGGGTGGGAGGATACCTTGAGCCCAGGAGTTCGAGACCTTGCCTGGGCAATATAGTGAGACCCTGTTCTCCACAAAAAGGAAAAAACAAAAACCAAAAAGATAAGAAAGAATACATTAAATTTTACTATTGCTCAACTTCCACTAGGTTCCTCTTAATTTCTTTCAGGTGTTAAATGTTCATATTTGCTAGCAATATAATAAGTATAAGCATAAAAGTAATTTATTCATACCTGAACTTCAATTAAATTCTGTATTTCTTCGTGAAGTTTGTCATGTTCCTTTTCAATTGAACCCCAAATCATCAGGGCTGATTCTAAGGGTGTAATTCGTTCATCATTTTCAAACTGTGCATCTTTTAAAAACAGAACAAAAATAAGTAGCTCAGAAACCTAAGTAAAATTTTGTCAGTTTTTAAGAGTGCATTCCTTTAAATATTTACTGAGTGAATACTATGTACTAGGTATTCTTCTTGTTTATACTAGTTTAGAGAAGTGATTTTATTTTCTAAGTTAATTTGCTCATTAAGATCAATTTCAAATGGAAAAAGGTTGATGAAATTATAAACATTTGAAGATTTGCTTTAGAAAAATATGAATTTTAAGAACTAAACTATTTTATATAACATGTCACAGCAACAGAATTCTCAAGTGGTTCTTAAGTCCAATACATTATAACAAACCTCAAGATAGGCCAGTTTTTTCACCTACATAATAGTGACAATAAATACTATCTCATAGAATTTATATGAATATACAATAAGATAATAGTTTACTCTTATTAAGCTTTCCTAAAACAACTGTGATCAAGTTATTTGGAACAAAGACTCACAACAGCTGATAACTAATTAGCAAATTACACACCAACAACCCATTCGGACATTCAAGAACCTTCACTATGATGTCTTACATGGCTAGCACCTACAGTCTACAATTCATTCAATAAATATTTATTGACCACTCACTATATATAGGCACTCACCTAAAAACTTGGGAGTGTCTTGGCCAGGCGTGGTGGTGGCTCACACCTGTAATCCCAGCACTTTGGGAGGCCAAGGCAGGTGGATCATGAGGTCAGGAGTTCAAGACCAGCCTGGCCAACATAGTGAAATCCCATCACTACTAAAAATACAAAAATTAGCCGGGCATGGTGGTGCGTGCCTGTAGTACCAGCTACTTGGGAGTTGGAGGTAGGAGAATCACTTGAACCCGGGAGGTGGAGGTTGCAGTAAGCACAGATCGCACTACTGCACTCCAGCTTGGGCAAGAGGGTGAGACTTCATCTCAAAAAAACAAAACAAATACTTAGAGTGCCTCAGTGAATAAGACAAAAATCCCTTCTCTTATGATGCTCACATGCTAAAGGGAAAGACAATAAATTAGTAAATAAAACAATTTCAGAGTAGCAGGGGCTAGAAAAAAGAAAAAAGGTACTGGAAATGAAGAATGGTAGGGGAGGGGAAAGCTCTTTCAGACAGGTTCAAGGCCTCTCTGAGGAAGTGGCAGTGGAGCTAAGAAAAGCATAATGTAAAGCAGAAGGAATAGTCACATAAAGATCTGGAGGAAAAACATTCCAGAGGGAATGGCAAGTGCAAAGATTCTGAGGAGGAATTTGATGTTCAAAGGGCAGAAAAAGCTAGATGGGGGCGTGCGTCTGTAGTCTCAGCTGCTTGGGAGGCTGAGGTGGGAGGACTGCTTGAGCCAGGAGTTTGACGCCTCAGTGAGCTAGGATGGTGCTACAGGACTCCAGCCTAGGTGAGAGCAAGACCCTACCTTGAAAAAACAAAGGGCAGGAACGCCAGTGGGCAAGTTGGATGCATTCTATTAGAGAGATGATGGAAGAAGTAAGTAGTTGTCTGTTTTGGAACTTATTTTGAATGTAGAATAGAACTTGCTAATGGATTGCATGTGGAGCATGAGGAAAAAATGGAGAACTCTTGGGTTTTAACAATTGAATAAATCATGCTGATGTTTACAATCATAGGAAGACTGGATGAGGACCAAGTTTATGAAGTTGTATATGGAAATCAGGAGTTCTACTATCTAGGTAAACTATGGTTTATTTTCAAAATAATGCTAATGTTTTCATTTTGCCTCGACTACCTTCCCCCCATTGCCTCCCCATATTTGAGGATGTTGACAGACTACCATTTTTATACTTTCTTTTGTTTTTTGTTTTTTTTTTTGAGACAGAGTTTCGCTCTTGTTACCCAGGCTGGAGTGCAATGGGGTGATCTCGGCTCACCACAACCTCCGCCTCCTGGGTTCAGGCAATTCTCCTGCCTCAGCCTCCTGAGTAGCTGGGATTACAGGCACACGCCACCACGCCCAGCTAATTTTTTGTATTTTTAGTAGAGCCGGGGTTTCACCATGTTGACCAGGATGGTCTCGATCTCTTGACGTCGTGATCCACCCGCCTCAGCCTCCCAAAGTGTTGGGATTACAGGTGTGAGCCACTGTGCCCGGCCCCGTCATTTTTATACTTTCTGACAAAACCTAACAATTCTTACAGGAATAGCACAAAGTTCACCTCCTTCTTGAATGCTGCCCTTACCCCAGCAGCTAAGAGACTAGGAAATGTCCTTTCTCTACATCTCCTGTATGTGCTTGCTTTGGCAGCACATATATAAAGATTAGAAAAATGCAGCGATTAGCATGGCCCCTCTACAAGGATGACACACAAATTCCTGAAGTGTTCCATTAATTAAAAAGAAACTCAGCCAGGCATGGTGGCTCATGTCTGTAATCCCAGCATTTTGGGAGGCCAAGGCGGGAGGATCACCTGAGGTCTAGAGTTTGAGACCAGCCTGACCAACAGGGAGAAACCCAGTCTCTACCAAAAATACAAAATTAGCCAGGTATGGTGGTGCATGCTTGTAATCCCAGCTACTCAGGAGGTTGAGGCAGGAGAATTGCTTGAACCCGGGAGGTGGAGGTTGCGGTGAGCTGAGATTGTGCCATTGCACTCCAGCCTGGGCAACAGAGAGAAACTTCGTCTCAAAAAACAAAAAAAAACAAAAACAAAACAAAACAAGACAAAACAAAAGGCGCACTGGATCACGCCTATAATCCCAGCACTTTGGGAGGCCAAGGTAGGCGGATCATGAGGTCAGGAGTTCAAGAATCAGCCTGGCAAAGACGGTGAAACCCTGTCTCTATTAAAATATAGAAATTAGCTGGGTGTAGTGGTGGGTGCCTGTAATCCCAGCTACTTGGGAGACCGAGGCAGAGAACTGCTTGAACCCAGGAGGTTCAGTGAGCTGAGATCGCGCCGCCGCACTCCAGCTTGGGTCACAGAGACTCCGCCTCAAAAACAAAACAAAACCAACTCATATCATTATGCCTTTTTTAATGCCTTGCAGTACTTTATACTTACCTCAACAATGCTATTAGCTTTTAAAGTGTCTTGAAGACAAAAACTCCTTACTCAATAATGCGTAATATTTCAAATTTTGGGGGGCTGGAGCCACTCACTATTTTTCTAAACCCCTATGTTCCTAACACATTTGTAGTTTCATAGCAAGTACACAACAAATAAGAATAATAAAGAGAATTTTAAATGGCACATTCTTTTTTCCTTGAAAAACTAGAGTGAGCATGCAGTTTAAATTTAGTTTAAAATATTTTTACTTTAGGAACAATAGCTTTTCTGAGTTGATGAAAAAAATATTTTTACTTTATTTCTTGTTGTCCTCTCCTAATTGTTTTCCCAACATTTTAGATATAAAAATATATTCATTCACATACTAAGTCTTTACATTCCAGGTTCTGTGTCCGGTACTTATGATACTAACATGAAGAAGAAAGTTACTGACCTTGTGGAATTCACATACTAGCTATGGAGGAAGACATGCAGACAAATCAATATAACTGGGACTTTAATGGAATTGTGCATTATACCAGTGGTTCTTAAGGTTTGCTATACCTCAGAATCATCTGAAGAGTTTTTGAAAAATATTGATGCCTACACCCATCTCCCAGATTGATTAAATTCTCAAGCATAATCTAGTGTATTTGAGGAACAGGGTATTAACTCTAAGTAGGAAAACTAGAAGTGAATCCTTGATGAAACAGAAGTCATCCAAACTGGGACATTAAGGATAAACGTATGGTAACTAAGTGAAGAGTACAACAATGGGAAGGAAAACACTTCAGGAAAATGGAGCAGCATAAGATACGGAAGAAGTATACAAAAGATATTAATGCTAGTAACTAACACTGAGTGTGAGGCACTGTGGCACTCTTGTTTTATACAGTAAGATCTGAGAGCTAGAGAGGTCACACACCTAGCAAGTAGTAAAAGCAGACAATAAGACACTTAAAAATCACCTACTGTGTTTCAAAAGTAGTGAAATGAAAATGCAAAAGTAGACTGCCTAATTTTTCTTCATTTTTCACCTGCTTGCTTTCCTTCAAAAACTACTTTCAACACACATTTTCAAATAAGTGTTTCTTGACTGACATTACTTAACCCTTCTCACTTATGTGCCTTCCTTCTTATAAATGTGACATATAGAAAATGTATATTAGATCTTAGCTTCGAAAATTTCCAGGTAGGATGTAGCATACTGCAGCAAACAAAACACTCCCACTACAACTAGAGAACAGTTAAGATAAACTGCAAAATCATGTTGCTAAAGACATGGGTAGCTATGGAAGCAATGAAAATGAGATGAACTAAAATTCTGGAGAGAAAATCCCTTTTGAGGTGAGCTGCTGATTTGCTCATTTTGAAGAAGGCTGAGGATCAACTGTACTCCAGCCAGAGAGACTTTACTGGGGAAAGAGAAATAAGAACAGCTTCTGGTGGTTTCCTTGGGGCTGGCATGGTCAACTGGAAACTAGAGGAACTGCAAACATGATTGGCTTTTCTCCACAGGACATGCGCTAAGTTCCAGAACAATGCAATAGGCAGCAGTAGAAAGGCACACAAGTCTCTCAGTTTTGGGAGGCATAGGTGGGAGGGTCACTTAAGGCCAGGAGTTCAAGACAAGCCTGGGCAACATAAAGATAACTTGTCTCTATAAAAAATTAGCTGGGCCTGATGGTGTAGCTGTAGTCCTAGCTACTTAGGAGGCTGAGGTGGGAGGATCACTTGAGCTCAAGAGTTTGAGGCTACAGTAAGCTAAGAAAAGGCACCACTGCATTCCAGCCTGGGCCACAGAGAGATACCCTGTCTAAAAAAAAAGTTTAAAATTCTATGACAGGATTACTGTCATAAGCATTTCCCCTTTAAGATATCTGCTGTATTTCAAAGTTATGTGGGGGTCTATGGCCACACTACCCTGAACATGTCCTGTCTTGTCCCTATGTGGGATAGGAGACTAAACCCAATATGGTAGTTACTAGCCACACATAATTACTGAACGGCTAAAATATGGCTAGTTTGAATTGAGATATACCTTAAGTATAAAATACACACCAGATTTCAAAGACTAACTACAGAAAAAGGTAAAATATCTCTTTTTTTTTTTAGAGATGGAGTCTTGCTCTGTTGCCCAGGTTGGGGTGTAGTGGTGTGATCATAGCTTACTGCAGCCTCAAACTCCTGGGCTCAAGTGATTTGTCCACCTCAGCCTACCAGAGCTGAGATTACAGATATCAGCCATATGCCTGGCCCTATTAACATTTTTTACACTGATTACTTGTTGACATAGTATTTTAGAAATATTGGGTTAAATAAGATTATCAAAATTAATTCTACTTATTTAATTATTATTATTATTTTTTAGCTACACCTGCTGGAATGGGAATTTTTTTTTTTTTTTTTTTTTTTTGAGATGGAGTCTTGCTGTTTTGTCCAGGCTGGAGTGCAATGGTACACTCTTGGTTCACTGCAACCTCTGCTCCCACGTTCAAGCAATTCTCCTGCCTCAGCCTCCCAAGTAGCTGGGATTACAGGTGCACACCACCACACCTGGCTGTTTTTTTGTATTTTTAAGTAGAGATGGGGTTTCATCATGTTGGTCAGGTTGGTCTTGAACCTCTCACCTCATGATCTGCCCGCCTCAGCCTGCTGAGATTACAGGAGTGAGCCAGTGTCTGGCTTGGAATGGGAATTTCTAAACTTCGTGACAGGGTCTCATTTTGTCACTCAGGCTGGGGTGCAGTGGCGCACTATCTCAGCTCACCGCAGCCTCAACCTCCCAGGCTCAAACGATCCTCCCACCTTGGTCTCCTGAATAGCTGGGACTGCAGGATCACATGTGGCTAATTTTTTAAATTTTTTGTAGAGACAGGATCTTGAAATGTTGCCTAGGCTAGTGTCGAATTCTTGGCCTCAAGTGATCCTCTTGCCTAGGCCTCCCAAAGTACTGGGATTATAGGTGTGAATCACTGTGTGTGGTCTACTTTTCTTAACATAGCTATTAGAAAATTTTAAATTAGACATGTGGCTCACATACCTCTATTAGCCAGTGCCACTACAGAGCAAAACAAAAGGTTTATGTATAGATGAAAATCTAATACATAAACTTCTCAATGCTGCCTCAGTTGAGTGCATTATGGTGAAATACACTGATTCTTGATAGCTGACTCAGGCCTATTATATCTAGGATATATCCAAAAAAGTATCCCGGTAAATTCCAGATTAAACCATGGAATCACACATAAAATCTGGATTCCCCCTGCCTTTTTTGAAGAAAAGGTTATCTAGTGGGCAATTTCCAGCAATTGGGTCAATAAATAAATAAATAAATAAATAAATAAAATAAAAAAAAGAAAAGAAAAGGTTATCCAGGAAGCAACTAAGATGTACTGAACAACTGCTACGTGTAAAGCACTGCCAGGCACTTTAGAATATTTTCCCACCTTTAATTTAGAAAACAATCCTGTTAACAACAGTGTCAACTTATGGTCTACATGGTCTGCAATTCTGCTCCAGCCTGCTTCTTCTCCAGCAACTGGCCCAGGCCTACCTACAGCTCTGTCTCTTTCACGACTACTCTGCGCCTATCTAGTCCTATCCATTTATGGTCCTGGCACCAACTCCAGACCTACCCTCACCCCTAAACAAAGCAGACTACATCAGCCAGAGCTACTTGAGTAAAGGCCTTGACAGTGGTGCTAATACAGTGGGATTTTATGTAAGACAACACTTTGATAAGCAAGCGGGTTTATGTAAGTACTGCCCACCACTCAGAATTGTTGAAAAAGCATTTTGTAAATTATAAAAACCAATATAAATATAAAATTATTTGCATCAAATAGCCTTTTAAAATGACCATGTTGTAAATACCAACCATTACTGATAAACTGAATCAGCCTTGCCCATTACAATTTAAAATGAACTACCAAGACAAGGGAGAGAAATCACAGCTATAAATTGTACTTCTTTACATAAATAAGTGCTGGCATGAAGTTCAAATATGAGCTTTCAAATATAATAGTTGCCTGTAAAAAACAGTGTGTATGACTGGAGTCACCACAAAGTTACCAAATAGTTAATGAAACACACTGCCCCAACAGTGGCATCAAAATCACCTGAGAATTTATTAGAAATGTACATTTCAGAGCCTCATATCCATCCTACTGAATCCGAAACTCATGGGAAGTAGTGAGACTCAACACTATATATTTTTATAATAAGTCCTTTAAGTAATTCTGGAGCAGGTTAACGTTTGAGAACCAATGTTCTAAGAAGACAGGAACTACATTAATTTTACTTGTTTTAGATATGATTGTATGTGTGTATATACACACACACACACACCCCATGCACCAGACACTTGTAGGCAAACTCCCCCCCCAAAAACATCTGTTTCTTCTCATTGTCTTATATTTAGACACAGATTGAAATATTTCCAACATAAAATAAAAACACATATTTACCAAGGTTTTTTCCTGCTGCAATTCTTGTCAAAAACTGACATATGTATACAGTTCTCAACTGATAAGCTGTTAGACTGGATAGTCCATGAATAATAGCTAAAAAAGAAAAAAAGTGAATTTTATTAAAATCAGACTTGAACCAGTGGTGCCACTGTGTGGTTTGCTCAGCAATAGGTTACAAACATGTAAAAATTACCATAAATTTAGAGTGGTATATTTACAGTCTGATGAAAAATCAGAACAAAAAAAGAATAACAATGAACACATTTCTTACAAAATATAACTTTCACATGGAGAATAAAAATTGTTGAAAATTCTTTTACCAGTAGTAGTCTACATTAACAAAAAAGATTTAGATATAAATTGTAAAATGTGTAAAATCATTGGTTGGATACTTACACCTAGAAACTCTCCATACAATAGAATGTATTTTATATTATTTCTATCATGGTTTCAGTTAAGTGAGTCTGCTTAGCTTACAAAGCTGTATTTTTAACACATATTAATATTAACCTCCCCAGAACTTGAATGCCCACCCAGATATTGAGTCAGGCAGTGAATACATGCAATACTGAGTATGCCATACTCTTGGACCACAGTGAGCTTTTTACCATGCAGCAATGAGAGATAAACAATTGAGCTACAGTAAAAACATGGTGAAAACTTTAAAAAGACAAGTATAGAATGCTATGGAAGCATATAACAAAGAAATCTGTGTGTTTAAGTATCTTTTGCACAAAGGAGGTATCAGGGAAGGCTTCTCTGAAGAAATCGTATCTAACCTAAGACCTGAAGGTGCTACTAGGTGCATTACACCTAACCCAGGGCTTGCCTGGTATATATAAAAAGCTTAAATAACAAACTGAAAAGTAGTTCTCTAGCAATCAGGCATATAAGGCAAATATATTTTTACCCAATTTCCTCCAATTCTAACATAATCTTTTTTTTTTTTTTTTTTTGAGACGAAGTTTCACTGTTGCTACCCAGGCTGGAGTGCGATGGCATGATCTCGGCTCACCGCAACCTCCGCCTCCTGGGTTCAAGCAATTCTCCTGCTTCAGACTCCCAATTAGCTGGGACTACAGGCATGCGCCACCATGCCCAGCTAATTTTTGTATTTTTAGTAGAGATGTGGTTTCACCATGTTGACCAGGATGGTCTCCATCTCTTGACCTTGTGATCCACCTGCCTCGGCCTCCCAAAGTGCTGGGATTATAGGCGTGAGCCACCGCGCCCAGCCCAATTCTAACATAATCTTATGCTATACCGGAGATTAACTGGACCATGCAGTCATAATAGAATTAACAGGATTTTAAGAGAGCACAAAATTTATGTAGAATTTAAACACAAGCCATTCAATTATTTACTGAACATCTACTACTAGCCTGTGTTAGGAGGTGGTGACTCAAGATAGCCATTCCCTGTCCTCATGAAAGTTTTTTATTTTTATTTTTGAGACGGAGTTTCGCTCTTGTTACCCAGGCTGGAGTGCAATGGCGCGATCTCGGCTCACCGCAACCTCCGCCTCCTGGGTTCAGGCAATTCTCCTGCCTCAGCCTCCTGAGTAGCTGGGATTACAGGCAGCCGCCACCATGCCCAGCTAATTTTTTGTATTTTTAATACAGACGGGGTTTCACCATGTCGACCAGGATGGTCTCGATCTCTTGATCTCGTGATCCACCTGCCTCGGCCTCCCAAAGTGCTGGGATTACAGGCTTGAGCCACCGTGCCCGGCCCTCATGAAATTTTTAATCTGAGAAGACATAAATTAAACCAAAAGTTATATAAGTACCTGATTAAAATTTTAATGAGTACCATGAACAGTTGCAGGCATACCTCATTTTATTGCACTTTGCATACAGCATGTTTTTTATAAATTGAAAGTTTATGGCAACCCTGCTTGAGCCAAGACTGTTGGTACCATTTTTCTAAGAGTATCTGTACCTGTCATATTTTGGTAATTCTTGTAATATTTGAAATTTTTCATTATTATTATAGCTGTATGGTGATCTGTGATCAATAATTTCTGATATTACTATTATAAATATTTTAGAGTACCACAAATCAGGCCCATATAAGACACAAGTTTATTCCATAAATATTGTGTGGTTTTGTTTTGTTTTGTTTTTGAGACGGAGTTTTGTTCTTGTTGCCCAGGCTGGAGTGCAATGGCTTGATCTCGGCTCACTGCAACCTCCATCCCTCAGGTTCAAGCAATTCTCCTGCCTCAGCCTCCAGAGTAGCTGGAATTACAGGCATGCATCACCACGTCTGGCTGATTTTTTTATTTTTAGTAGAGACAGGGTTTCTCCATGTTGGTCAGGCTGATCTTAAACTCCTGACCTCGGGTGATCAACAATTCTCATGCCTCAGCCTCCCGAGTGGCTGGGATTACAGATGTGTGCCACGACACCAAGCTAATTTTTGTATTTTTAGTAGAGATCGGGTTTCAGCATATTGGCCAGGCTGGTGTCAAACTCCTGACCTCAAATGATCCAACTTCCTTGGCCTCCCAAAGTGCTGGGATTACAGGCCTGAGCCATTGCATCCAGTCAACAACAGATTTTCATTATAGATGAAATAGCCTCATATTGGAAGAAGAAGTCATATAGAACTTTCATAGCCAAAGAGAAGTCAATTCCTAACTTCAAAATTTCAAAGGACAGGCTGACTCTGTTGTTAGGGACTAATGCTGCCGGTGACTTTAAGTTGAAGCCATTGCTCATTTCCCATTCTGAAAATCTTAAGGCCCTTAAAAATGACGCTATATCTACTCTGTCTGTGCTCTAGAAATGGAATAAGATTAGATGACAGTGCCTCTGTTTACACCATGGTTTACTGAATATTTTAAGCCCATTATTGAGATTTACTGCTCGGAAAAAAGAGTCCTTTCAAAATACCACTGCTAACTGATAATGCACCTAACCACCCAAGAGCTCTGATGAAGATGTACGTACAAGAAAATTACTGTTGCTTTCATGCCTGTTAACATAACATCCATTCTACATCTCATGGATCTAGTTTTCTCTCCGTCCCAGCCTTACAAGTAAATTTGAAATAACCAATCTGCTTTTTGTTCTGTTTAAGCTTCCTTAAATCTTTACTGTCTATAAAGCCAACCCCTAACTGCTCAATTCATTGAGCACTATTGAGCACTTATTTTACGGAATAAAGTATTACCTAAATCTAGAATCACATTAAAGCCAAGTGAGATCTTTAAACTAAATTAGTTGCAATTTTGTCTTTTGACAGGGATAAGGCTTAAAAATAGCAGAGCCAGGAATCAAACTGGGACAATTTATTCCAGAGCCCATGTTCTTAACTGTTATACTACACTGCCTTCCATGACATGATTAACAGTCTATGAAAGGTATAATCTGGCTGGTGCTGTGGCTCATGCCTGTAATCCTAGCTCTTAGGGAGGCAGAGGTGGGAGGATAGTTTGAGCCCAGGAGTTAGGGACCTGCCTGGGCGATATAGCAAGAACCCATTTTCCACAAAAAGGAAAAAAACAAAAAGACAAAAAAGAAAGGTACTATCTGAGATCTGTGAGATATGAGAATAATTCTGAGTCAGAATAAAACAATTAAGAATTTTCTAGAAAGCATGAAGAGTTGTATATTTTTACAATTTTGAAAACTGTAATACTGTAGTCCCGGGTACATGGGGGGTTGAGGTGGGAGGACCCCTTGAGTCCAGGAGTTCAAAGTCAACTTGGGTACCGAATCACTCAAGATAGGTAACATAGTAAGAACCTGTCTCTTGAAAAGAAAAAAAAAAAAAAAAAAAAGGAAGGAAAATGTAAAAAGTGTCCTTAAAAATTAAAAATGGGAACCCCAAAATAACACTATGTTCACAATTTGCATACTGGCCACTGATTAGCAGTGCCACTTGAAAAATAGTGGGCTCTCTTTGGTTTCTGTACCCTTAACTTTAAAATAATGACAGTGGCCTAGATTATTTCTCCAGTCTTGAGCTATAACTCTGAACATGGATTTTTAAAAAAAAAATTCTTTTTTAACCTTGGCTCTGGGTGTTTTTATGAACAGCGTTTTTTTTTTTTTTTTTTTCATAAAACAATCAACTATTTTCTAGAACAGTTTTAAATTGATGTAATTAATATAAAAATGGTAGATAGGTTCCATATACCCTGAAGCAATTTATCTCACTTTTTAAAAACATTTTACATTAGTATGTTGCATTACATTAATGAATCAGTGTTGATACATTATGAACTCAACCCATGCTATATTCAGATTTCCTTAGTTTTACTTAATGCCCCTTTTCTGTGGCAGGATCCCATTCAGGACACCACATTACTTTTAGTCCTATCTCTTTAGGAGCCTGCTGGCTATTAGAATTTCTCAGACTTTCCTTGGTTCTGATGATGACATTTTGAGTAATGGTCAGGTATTTTGTAGAATGTCCTTATGGGATATGTCTGATACTTTTCTCATAATTAGATTGAAGTGATGGGGTTTTGGGAATAGGACTATTTTCATTAGAACAAGTGAACATATCATCAACTATTACTGTGGATGCTGACCCTGCTTACCTAGGTGAGGTAGTGTTTGACAAGTTTCTCCCCTGTGAACTTACTCTCTCTTGCCCCCTTTCTATACTGTACTCTTTGGAAGAAAGCACTGTGTGCAACCCACACTCAAGGAGTTAGTTATGTTCTACTCCTTGAGAGAGTAGCAACATCAAATTATTAATACTTGGAATGCTGCATGCAAGATTTCCCATTTATTCAATTATTTAATCAGTATTGACTCATGTAAAATTATTTTATACTTTAAGTTTATACTCTAATACCACTTTATCTTCTCGTATTAGTGGTTCAGCTGTAGCCACTGGGAAGTCTTGCAGATGGCTTCTGTGTCCCTTTCTAACCCGGTCACTGAGGTGTTTTTGTTTCTTTCTTAGCACTTCCTTACTTCCTGGCACTAGAAGATGCTCCAGGTTTACCTTGTATATTTCCTATCCTAGTTTCAGAATCAGTCATTTCTCCAAAGAGCCCTGGTTCCTTTTATTGCAGAATGGTATTAGAAAACAAGATCTGGGGGCAAGGTGTATTCATTGTTGCTAGAGTTAGGTTGCTTCTGTGCCCTTTTATCTGACAGAGCAAGGAAATACATGTTTGTATAGTAACCGGTATCTACACAAGCATACATAAATATTTCTAGAGTCACCTATACCTACATGAGTTAAACAGTTCATACTGATATCTCCAACTCTAAGATAACTTTTTAATAATTCTGAGGAACTAGCTTCATTCCAGGATTTAATTTTCCACTTATTAATGTTAATTATCTATGGCTCCAGTGTTATCTGCAATAGAGAAAAGATCCTTGAACTGGAAGAAAAAGCATGGGGCTGAAACACCCCCTTTTAACCTATCAGTACTTTAAGATTATTTGCCTAACTCACAGGATTATGGTGAAGTGAAACGTGTCAATATGTCTTTGAGAATTCTGCTAAATAGCATACTTGTATTATAAACATATACTTGCACAGCAATTTTAGTGCCAACTCTGAATGAAGTACCAGAACATCTTTCTGTTATTTTTCAAAAAGCTACGCTAGGCCAGGCGTGGTGGCTCATGCCTGTAATATTACAGCCAGCTGCTCGTGGTGGTGCACGCCTGCAGTCTCAGCTACTCGGGAAGCTGAAGCGGGAGGATCACCTGAATCTGAGCAAGGTCAAAGCTGCAAAGAGCTGTGATGGCACCACTGCACTGCAGCCTGGGTGCAAGACTGAGATCCCAACTTGGGGCGGGAAGTCACCTTTAATCAAACATCTGAGCTGGGAGAGTGTTAGACTGAAAAAACTATGCTGGCTTTCTCTACGGATCTATGTCTTTGTTCATCACTTACAGGCTGTCTAGGAAGATTTCATAAAGTTTCATTCATTCATTTATTTATTGAGGCAGGGTCTCACTGTGTCACCCAGGCAGGACTGTAGTGGCAAGATCTCGACTCACCGCAGCCTCCGCCTCCTGGGTTCAAGTGATTCTCCCACCTCAGCTTCCTAAGTACCTAGGACTTAGAGGCATGTGGCCTGTAACATTTGGCCTTAAAACATTTACTTTTATTCTGAGCCTATACAAAATAAAATTGCTGTAGCAAGCAGCCCAAATGAGGTTTAATATATCACAAATTAACACAAAACAGTGATGGCGGCGGTTAGGGAGGTTGTCACTGAAGGCCATAATGACTGCTGAATATCACCACCGAATAACTGAGTAGAAAGCACCAAAGAGACAAAGGTACTGGGTTGAGTGCAAGTGCATACATTTTAAATCATTTAATGCTTGCATCAACCCTAAACAGGGTCTTTTCATTTTATCGAAGAGAAAAACAATCTGACAAAACTCAGTTGCTGACAACGGGCGGAACAGGGATTTGCGCAAAGTTCAGCCCAGACCCTCGGACCCCCGGCTAATTGGCCGCAGCTTCCCCTCTCTCCCGACCTTCCTAGGCGACGATGGGAACCAGGCCTCTGCCGAGCGCCACTGGGCCCGCCTCCGCCCCATGCGTAGTCCCCAGCCCGGACGCGGTCCGCCCTCACCCTCGGCGCTGTCGCGGGTCTGGCGAAAGTCCTCGGAGCGGCCGTCGCGGAAAGCTCGGCAAAGAGAGAGGCAGAGGAAATCGAGCATCCAGCCGGCAGCCACAGCCTCGGCCTCGGCCACAAAGCCCGCATCCTCCTCCTCCTCCTCGGAAGCCCCCAACTGCATCTGGCACTCGAGCAGTTCCTGGCACTCGAACTGCTCCTCGTCGTTCCTCTCCGTTTCTGCTATCCGCTCCTCGGTAGCGTCGGCATCCCTACCATCCGCACAGCCCCGTGGGCTCGGAGCCGCTGAGGAGGCGTCCTCCGCCATGTCAAATGGCTCGCGCGGGTACTGCCCCTTTAGGCGCCGAGCAACGATTGGCTAGCACTCCAGGGAGCTGGTAGTGGCTACGGAGGGTCGCTTCCGCCGGCGGAAACCACCAATCACATCGCCAGGATGGGAGAGCGGCTCAAGCCTGGCTTCTGATTGGCCGAGACCTGTTTCTGCCTCTGGGCGTTGAATTTCCCGCCAGTCTGAGGCCCGGGCTTTGCATGTAACTGGAAGACTCCATATTGAGCGAGGAGTGAGGTTATGCTGGGAGGCAGCTTTATCTTCCTTATTCCTTGTAAAATGCAACCTTGACTGGAACAACCACACTAAAATGAGAACGCATAGTTAAAATGCATAGTTAAAATGAAAGCGCATTTGCCTGCCGCCTATTTCAGGAAGAGGTGGGTAATGAGAACTTGTCACTAGTAGTCAAGTATAGCACTTTTAAACCCTAGTATTCATCTAACGGTTACTACATAATCACGAACCACAACTATTCCAACTGACTAACATCCGTGCTTCTCCAACCTCAAGATGCATCAGAATCAGCTTGGGGGCTTGCTAAAACACAAATTGCCGGGCTCCAATCCCAGAATTCCTGTTCTGTTAGTCTAGCTTGGAGGTCCTTGAACTTGAAAGTCTAACGCTACTTGGCAGGACAGCACATTTTGAGATCACTGCTCTAGAAAGAGGATACTGCTGCGAAAATGTATCTCAATCAAGGTTTGAGATGGACTATAGAATGCAGTTTACAGAAAATAATAAGTGAATGCTTATTTTGAATTTTGAAACTTAGCACAAAAGGAGAGTCTAAGTGGGGATGAGTGGTCTGGTTAGTTTTTCGGTTTTTGTTTGTTTTTTTCCTTTGAGCCAGATTTCCCTGTGTTGATCAGGCTGCTCTCCAACTCCTGGCCTCCAGTGATCCTCCTGCCAGAGTGCTGGGTTTCCAGGCCTGACCCACCACGCCTGGCTCCGTTTTTTTTTTTTTGAGGTGGAGTCTCTGTCACCTAGGCAATGGCATGCTCTTGGCTCACTGCAAACTTCACCTCCCGGGTTCAAGTGATTCACCTGCCTCAGCCTCCTGAGTAGCTGGGATTACAGGTGTGTGCCACCACACCCGGCTAATTTTTGTATTTTTAGTAGAGACAGGGTTTCAACGTGTTGGTTAGGCTGGTCTCAAACTCCTGACCTTGTGATTTGCCCACCTCCGCCTCCCAAAGTGCTGGGATTACAAACCTGAGCCACACGCCCGGCCTGGCTCCGTTTTCTGTTCCTTGATGTGAGTAATGGTTACATCAATGTTTTCACTTTATGAAAATTCACTGAACATCATTTATGTACTTTTCAGTATGTATGTCATAATTGAAGAACAAGTTTACTTTAAAAGCCCTTTTGTTTATAATGCATCCAACGCCATCAAATCCTTTCTACCTTTTCACACACTTACTGTCTTTAAGGTAGAACAGTTTGAATGTTGAGTAACTAAGGCACTGTATTCTAGTATTAAAAGTGCTTACGTTGGAATGTTTCCTACCAGTTACTTGCTAGCAGTGTGACCTTGGGTAAATTACGTCTCAGTTTTCTTGTCTGTATATTGTGAATAATAATAATAATAACTGCACGATAAGCTTTTTTGGGAAGATTAAAGGGCTTGATAAATGTAAAGAGTTTAAAACAAAGCCTCAGCCAGGCACAGTGGCTCACTTTGTAATTCCAGCACTTTGGGAGGCCAAGGTGGGAGGATCATTGGAGCCCAGGAGTTTGAGACCAGCCTGGGCAACATAGTCATGTGTTATCTCAAAAAAAAAAAAAAAAAAAAAAAAAAAAAGAAAAGAAAAAAAGGAAGAGAAAAAAGAAAGCCAGGTAAATAGTAAGTGCTCAATTACTATTAGCAGGGAGAGTATTTGTGCTGCCAGGAAAAAGGATGATGCATCAGAAGAGATCTCTGCTTCAGGCTCTGATGGTTCCATGGGAAGTAAGTTCTGCTTTAAAATAATACAGTGAAATGGGGATACAGGTTAAGGGAATAAGGGTTAAGGCACATTATGAACCTAGTATTATAGACTGCATATTTATTTTCTCCCTAAATTTGCATGCTGAAACACTAACCCCCAATGGGATGGTATTGGAAGATGGTGCTTTTGGGCTGGAGTGGGCTAAGAGAGAGAATCCTGTGTGATTTCTGTGATTTAAAAGTCATCCCTTGAGTAAATTTATATTTCTTGTAAAACTGAGTTCATGGAGTAAGACTCACAAGTATAGTTGACTTTATAGTCATTTAATGGGATTGCTATGAGGGGAGAGATTCAATCTGTTTTGTGATGATCCTAAAAGCACAACCTGAAACCAAAGATTGAAAGTTGGGGGTGGCAGATTTGACTTCATATCCCACATGGTTCCCAACCATTCAGGCTTTCCCACAATAAAGTGCTGATTTCTATTGCCAGATACTGATTTCCCACCACTAGAATCATTGATGATCCTGTGATCGTGGTATGTCCCCTGCCAGGTAAGTATACATTTATGATTCTGGATGCCAATAGGCAGAGATACTGTGGAAAGATTCCCATAAAGCCTAGATGACATTTCCCATGCTGTTGCATTTCCCAAGACTGTATTTGATTTGGACAATTTCCTAAACAACACTTTGAAATCTGTAAATTTCCTAAATTCTTATGTCTGCCATATTAAATTATTGTGTTTTAACCCATATTTTAGTCTATCCCATTGCTAATATAAACTAATGGTCTAATTATGAATTATATACATTGCTTTATTTTTGCATTTATAAATGCCTTATCAATGTCCACACTACATATGTACTTTTGAAACATCCTTTACTGAGTACCTATTATGTGAAATGTGCTGTGCTAGAATGATGCATGGTAAACATAAAGATACTACTCCTCTCCATAAAGAATTATAGACTGGTTGGGAAGATAAGCAACATACATACACATTGTACATAAACATCAGATTAATGAGTAATGCTAACAGTATCCCTAACAGGAGTTTGGTGGAGGTGCAATCACCCAACGGGTTCACCTTACCTGCTGCCTAGACAGGCTGATTTATCAAGACATGGGAATTGCAATAAAGAAAGAGTAATTCATGCAGAGCTGGCTGTATGGGAGACCAAAGTTTTATTATTACTCAAACCCATCTCCCTGAAAACTTGGGGATTGGTGTTTTTAAGGATAATTTGGTGGGTAGGGGACTAGTGAATCAGGAGTGATAATTGGTGGGGTCAGAGATGAAATCATAGGGAGTCGAAGCTGCTTTCTTGCACTGAGTCACTTCCTGGGTGGGGTCCACAAGATTAGATGAGCTTGATTATTGATCTGGGTGGTGCCGGCTGATCCATCAAGTGCAGGGTCTGCAAAATATCTTTTTTTTTTTTTTTTGAGACCGAGTTTCACTTTTGTTACCCAGGCTGGAGTGCAATGGCACAATCTCGGCTCACCACAACCTCCGTCTCCTGGGTTCAGGCAATTCTCCTGCCTCAGCCTCCTGAGTAGCTGGGATTACAGGTGTGTGCCACCATGCTCAGCTAATTTTTGTATTTTTAGTAGAGACGGGGTTTCACCATGTTGACCAGGATGGTCTCCATCTCTTGACCTTGTGATCCACCCGCCTTGGCCTCCCAAAGTGCTGGGATTACAGGCTTGACCACCACGGCCAGCCCCATATTCTTTGTTTTAAAGCTAAACTATAAACTAAGTTCCTCCCAAAGTTAGTTTGGCCTACACCTAGGAATGGACAAGGACAGCTTGGATGTTAGAAATAAGGTGGTGTCAGTTAGGTCAGACTTCTTTCACTGTAGTTACTCAGTTACGAATTTTGCAAAGGCGGTTTGACAGGGAGAGTGTCTAAGCCAGTGAGATTTCATTAAAAAGATTTGAACAGAGATGCAGAGGGGAGAGACGTGGGTATGAACTGATTTTTTTTTTTTTTTTTGAGACAGCCTCACTCTGTCACCCAGCCTGGAATGCAGTGGCACGATCTTGGCTCACTGCAACCTCCACCTCCCAGGTTCAAGCAATTCTCCTGCCTCAGCCTCCTGAGTAGCTGGGATTACAGGTGCATGCCACCCTGCTTGGCTAATTTTTTTGTGGTTTTTAGTAGAGACGGGGTTTCACCATCTTGGCCAGGCTGGTCTTGAACTCCTGACCTTGTGATCCACCTGCCTCGGCCTCCTGACATGCTGGGATTACAGGCATGAGCCACCGCACCCAGCTTGAACTGATTTTTTAAAAGTAAATTTTACAGGGCCTAAAACACTAGTTTTGCTATCCTCACAAATAGTTCTCAACCTTTGTCGTGTGTCACATATTCTCAGTTGGCTGAGTTAGATTTTGTATTATTAACTCAGAATTTTTAAGGGGAAGGCGCAAGCACGTGTGTTTCTCAAAGTATCTCTAGGTAATTCCAATATAGAATCAGGGTTGCTAGCTACCAAACCATGCAAATAAAATGGACCACTCCATTTTGAGGTAGTGTACATAATATATAATAATGATGAAGAAGCACACTCTTCCTTATGAGGACTTTCTCCCTTTTTAGAATCAATGAAGTTGTGCCCAAGGACTGAAAGGAATGTTTTGAGTTTATAACAAAGTGGGTTTTGGGAAGGGAAACATTATTTTAGGCAGTTCTAATCACTTAGAGCTTTTAACATATTTAAATGATCTTTGTAACCCCTTGAGATTTCTTTTTATTTTTTTATTATTTTTTTAAAGATGGTGTTTTACCATGTTGGTGAGGCTGGTCTTGAACTCCTGATCTGCCCACCTTGGCCTCCAGAGATTTCTTAAAAGTTATTTCATGCATTACAAGATCCATGTGTAGCTTGCCTCTGACAGAATACAGGCACTGTGGTGGTGCAGGCTTACTCTGTAGGTTATCCTTAATTTGATTTTTAGGAAAAACCAGTTTGGGAAATTTCTGTTTTTAAAAGGTGGAAGTTTTCTTTTCTATGGACTGCTCAGAGCTTTAAATATACTAATGTGGATCATGAATTTCTGAAACATATCCCATAATTGATCATTGCACTCCTTTTTTGGAGAACATCCTATA